ATTCCAAGGTAGCAGCAGGTCAGAAGGCCAGATTTATTTTGGCCTTAACCCATTGTAACATTTCCTGCCCTAGTGAACACTCAAGCTGCAGCGTTCGGATTTACTGACTTTTTACAAAGACCTGTGAACACACCGTTACAGTAGTCTACTACTGAAGACCAACGCAGGTTTTTCCAAATCCTGTTAAGAAATAAGTCTTGAATCCTTGATATATTCTTCAGGTGATAATATGGTGATTTTGTAACTGTCTTTAAATGGCTGTTCAGATTGAGGTCCGAATTCATAACTGCACCTAGTTTTCTGGCTGGGTTTGTAGTTTTTAACATTAGCGATTGAAGCTGTGTGCTGACTTTCAATCGTTCGCCCTCGGCTCCAAAAACCATTACTCCTGTTTTTATCTCTGATTATGTGAAGAATATTCTGGCACAACCTTTGTATGGGATTATAGTCCCCCAGTGAAAGAGTTATGTAGATGTGCATGTTGTCTGCCTAATTATGAGCATAATTGGTTTCTTTCCATAATCTGAGCCAGTGGAAGCATGTAGATGTTGAACAGCAGAGGCCCCAGAACGGCACCTTGGGGAACACCGCATGTCATTTTAGTCCGCTCTGATTTAAAATGAGTAGGATTCAAAACGGTTTACAGTTGTGTCAGAGTCCCACCCAGATTTTCCGTTGGTCCAGTAGTAGGTTGTGGTCGACCATGTTGAATGCAGCACAGTTCCTGTGATACTAAGACTGTAGTGCTGCCACTGTCTTTAAGTGAATGTCGTTGAAAACCTTAACAAGAGCAGTTCCAGTACTGTGGTCCAAAGCCTGACTGAAAGACATCAAACCCGTTCTTTACGGTCGAGAAGTAGTTTAGCTGTAGAAAAAAGCATTGTTGTGCAGTCTAAATCAGCTGTTTGGGGGATTGGTTTAATAACTGCAGTTTTTAGGGCCTCTGGGAAGATGCCTGAGAGAAGGGATGTGTTTACAATATGTGGAGGATCAGTGGTCGTGCAAATATTTTGTAAATAATTAATATATAATAATATGTATAAAAGGTTTGTTGGTATAATATCTAGACAGCAAGAGGAGGACATTAGATGTTGTATAATGTCTTCGACTTGCATGGTCGATTGAATGAAATTGTGTCATGATATGTAAATGAATATTATTTAGAAATGGGGACAGCACATATCCTGCACTTATTACTTGTCTAATTTTCAGAATTTTGTCAACAGAAAAGAAGGCAAATAGATTGCGGGTGAAATGGCATCAATAACATCATTAACTTCCGGTGCTTGTTACAGGCTGCTGGAAACGCCGTGAAGAGAGCCTCTGATAACCTGGTTAAGGCGGCGCAGAAAGCAGCGTTTGATGCTCAGGATGACCAGGCCGTGGTGGTCAAGAGTAAGATGGTGGGGGGCATCGCTCAGGTGAGTTAAGTCTCCACACACAGCGGCACTTTTATACCTAAGTATAAGATATAAAAGAACATAAAGCAGTTAAATATATAAACATGATCAAGAATACATATTCCCACGTCAGTCCTTTATAGCAGTGATTCTCAACTGGTGGACCTGTTTTTAATGGGTCGCGGGCCTTTGCCTGGGAAAATAAAAAAATTTTTATGGTTGCATACGTATTCTGTCTCCATATTATCTCAGGTTCAAACTGCACCATATTTTCATTAAATAAATTTGAGAAGTTGAGAATGTTCCTCGATTTGTCATTAAGCGGTGATGGTGGGTCCCGGAGCCAGACCAGTTGAGAACCACTGCTTTATAGGGATTTGTTTAACCTACCTCATAATGTGAACATCGTATTGTTTCATGTGGCGACGTGTCGCGTGTTTTGATGAAACCGCTTGATGCTAACCAATAACTAATACATCTCACTGTTGATGACAGAGAGCAGCATCAATTGTCATTCATCAGGATGCATAACGCTATCAGCTGAAGCTAGAGTTCGAGCCACTGGCGCGGCGGCGTTTCTCGGCCTTGTGATTGAAGCTGGAGTTTCCTCTATGTGCTAACGGAGCCTGTTGTGTACAGATCATCGCTGCTCAGGAGGAGATGCTGCGGAAGGAGAGGGAGCTGGAAGAGGCCAGAAGAAGGCTGGCCACCATCCGGCAGCAGCAGTACAAGTTCCTTCCCTCGGAGCTGCGTGAGGACGGCCAAGAGCAGTGAATGAGTGTGCGTGCATCTGCAGCCTGCAGCTCCGGGCCGTCCCGCAGCCGCAGGGAAGGAGAGGAGCTTTATGTAACATCAGGCAGGCTCTCAAAGTTTTCTTGTATTTAATTTTTAAAGTCAAACGATACCAATGATTATGAATTTTGATAATACAGAAATACTAATTAAAGTATCTGTCCTCTTGATTAGATATGATCAAATGCTTTTCAATATATCTATCTCTTTTTTATCTAGATCATACGTCTGTTGTGTACATGTTATGTGGCTTCATAAAATTGCAAAATCCTGCCAATGCGTTTGGCTCGCCCCCAACTGTTGGATCGTTACTGTTAGATATTAGTTGTGTAGGCAAGCACAATTAAGTTTTCTATGCAAACCGTGCATAATCTATGCAAATGTTCTGTGCGTGAGTGAGTGAGTGAGTGAGTGAGTGAGTGAGTGAGTGAGTGAGTGAGTGTTTCCAGAGACACGGTTTCTGAGTTAATTGCAGATGTAATACTGTTCTGAACTGTAAACTATGATCGGACAAGCAGTTTTAAAAATGACTTTGCAAACCGAACAAATCAGAGTGGGAACAGATTATTTTTCTAAGGATGAGCTATGAAATGTATTAAAGTCGCTGTCGCAAATTCCTTTTGTGTCAGTATTTGGATGTGCGACGGTTCAGTGTGGAAGCCGGGGTTAGATTAGGATCCATGTTTGTGTAAAGAGTATGAAGCCATATATTTAACTTCAAGACATTTGGCATCATATTGACTATTTGTGAGTGACTTGCTCAGTAATGTGTCATGTGTGCAGATATTAATACTACTCTAGAATACTTCTAGAGGGTTCCTGTCCCATGATGCTCGTCTGTTTCCTGTTTGACTCCCACTTTGTTTCTCATTACCAAGGGCCTAATATTTGATCACTCTTACTCTCACTATATTAAGTGCCGTCACGGAATTATCTAGTATTATAAACTGCTGCCAGCCCTTTGCGTTTTTAAATCCTCCTTTACATAACTCGTCTCTTTATTTTCTTTTACGTATTCTTTTCACATGGCTCAGCATACCTAATACCAAAATGACTGTAATCATTCAACGCCGCCTTGTTTTGGTGACATTTGACTTTTTCACAGCAGTATCTCCTCTCGGGCACTGTAACAGATTTATATTCAATAAAGGTCATTTTAAAGTGAAACTCATCCATGGACATCCATTTCTTAACACTTTCACACGCACTCTTTTCACTGTTCAAGGAGGAAAAGCCTCCTCGACTAAACGTTGGATGTCTACGAATTCATACTGAACTGTATGAAAGTCTTCATAAGCTGCGTAATTTGCTCATTTAATCATTCTCTGTTTTAGGTTTTGTTCCTGTAACGCTGTCCGCTGTAACGTTTGTAACCTTTGTCTTTGATTCAGATTCATCTCTCAGATAAGTTCTCTTTTTGTTTGGATGTTATCTTTCTTTCTATCTTTTTATCTTTCTTAATGTGGATATCAGGATCCACTTAGAATTTGTCACAGTTCTTAACCGACTAGCACACAAAAAAAGAGGCGACCCATAAACATGGAGACCACTTAAGAAGGGTTAACAGATTCTTATGGTGTGAATAAGGCATTACTCAACATTAAGATCTAATATACAGTATATATCTATATAGATATCAGATCTTTATATATAAACATCTTTGAAGCTTAGAAAAAAAATGCCTCACATTTGATGTGGTTGTTTGTAGCTAAAGTGGAGCTTCAAACCCTCAGTAAATTTCCATCTAACTGCTCTTTCTTACTATTTATACTCATTTATCATTTCAAAATGTCGCCTAGCGAACAGAGTTACGCATATAGGAGCCTAATCTGATCCAATGCTACTATTTTCAAGCCTGCACACACACGTCACAAAATATGAACAGGTCTACTATGTGTGCTTAATGCTCAAGTCGGATATTTAAGTCATAGAAGCTGCAGTTTTGGTCCGGAAACGAAAGATAGAAGCTTAATTTGCGATTACGTCTAAACAAAAAGTCACTTTGTAATTACCATCCCCATTTTTTAAAACTTTTAAAATATTTTTAATTTTTAACTAACTTTATTCTCTTATTTTATACTAACCCATAGCCTTATTCTACTAACCCATTGCATTAGCATTTCATTTGATTGTATTACTTGTGCACTGCTGTCTTGTTGTCTATTGTTACACTGTCTACTGCCACGCACCAACCGCCAAGACAAATTCCTTGTATGTTTGACATATTTTGGCAATAAATGTTTCCTGATTCCTGCTGACTCATCGTTTGGAATGGCAGCAGTAAAGTCTGCAAAAACTTTATCTTTCTATCTGTCTTTGACTGTTCTATGCAAAAATGCAATATCAAGTCAAATTGGCCGTATTTATGTACAACGTTGACTGTCAGGTCAAAGAACCAATGTTCTATCTTTGGATATAAAAGTGGTGACTTGGATGCTTTAAATATAATTAGTATTAACCAAATATACTTAAAGTACTAAAAGCAGGCTTCTCATGCAGAATGGCCTATTCCAGAAGAAGGTCTCAGATGATTAGATCAAAACTGTTCTTCTCTTTAACATGTTTTGGGGAAGAATAAAGTTGAATAAAAGCGACGCGTAGAGTAAACGGACTTGGTTGCCTGTATATGTCTTGTGATTATTTAGTCTGAATCAGCCTGAGCACGTTGGTCTGATGGTGGATGTGTGGGACCACCGCGGATCCAGGTGGAGACACGAGTCACGCGCACACGCTGGACAACTCTCGCTGCCTAAATATGGGCAACGTCCCGCGCGGCGCTCGAGCAGCTGATATTCCATCTTGGACTTCTCCTCGGGCTGTTCAGTCCACCTCCGTCCCCCGTCAGACCTCCATCTCCGTCCGGACTAACCGAGCGCACTTCTACGTCTACTGAGAGAGCAACGCCCGAAGAAACATGGAGGCCATCAAGAAGAAAATGCAGATGCTGAAGCTGGATAAGGAGAACGCGATAGACCGGGCCGAGCAGGCTGAGGGGGACAAGAAAGGAGCGGAGGACAAGTGCAAGCAGGTACACGCGAACACCAGAATACTAATCTAGTCCGTTCCACGAAATCAACTAAAGAAATGAAAGAAAGAGGAGGACAATGTTAGGAAAGTGGTGGACATGTGCGTGACGGGACCATCAGGAGCACCTCCAAGGACACTCGGAGACTGCGTATCACTTGTATGGGGTGGGGTTGTGATGAAATCCAGGGGTGGAGGGAATCTGAAGGGGAAATGAAAGCATCATTGTCCAGGGAAAAGTCATTTAATCCAGTGTGCCCTAAAAATATAAGGATCCTCATCAACACGTTTCTCATGTAAACCTTTACTGGCCAGCTGATCACCATTAATATGATGGAATGGAGAACGAAGGGAGGCCAATAGCATGAAGAACAGCAGTTTAAGGTGCGGAAAGGACGTTGGCTTTGGCATGTTGTGGATATTATGAGGGAAAGCGTGTATGTTGAAAATAACATAAGTCCTAATAAGGACACATGTAGAACACAATGTATTACAGATATGGATGGACCCTCATGAGTCTATTGCAGCACTTGGATGCAGAGGAACTCAATTAGTCAGATGTTATTGAGCGTTCAAATAGAAACCGTACAAAATGTACCTCTTTAGCATTTCATCGGCTGAATATAGAGAACTTGTAATTATCATTGTATAAATCCATCAATGATAAGATATGTAGATTCTCCGTTAGGATTCAGGGTCAGGTTTCCTCACCAATCACTAACTAACAGTGACCATAAAAGTAAAACCATTTGGCAGCTCCTCCGCGGCCAGCTGGATGGCGACCTGCCTGCTGGAAGACTCTTTTTGTCTTTTGCCCCCCCCCCCCATCTCCCCCCACCTGTCGGTTCCTCTCCACCAGGAACTCACCAAACTGCACTAGTTATTATTATCAATAGCGGTGGCCTCTTCCTCCTGTCTCTCTCGCTATTTCAGATGAAAAACAAATTCAAGAAAATATAATTTGTTCTAATATTGTTTCTCAGTACTGTTATGACCATATAGAAAAGTACTTTGAGAGGAGCCCTTGCTGACTTGATATGAGAATGGCAAGCATGTCATGGAACATATGACGACGGTGTGCGAGGGGTCAGCATGTAGGTTCAGAGGGTTGGATAACGCCGTCCAGTACACCCACAGTGTACCCGAGGAATCGGGTCCCGGCTTATTGATTCTGCTCCTTTTAAGGTCCACATACAGTCAGCCTCTCCTGTGCTGCTCCACAGCGTCCTTTACAAGATCCCAGAGCAGTAAATGAATAGATCTTCTTTTCAGCATGTGCAACTGTCTACATAGCCTTTGTTCCCAGGGGACCCCGGCGCTCAGCTATTACAATCCCTGTCAAATCGCTTCTCGGTTCATTGGAGCTCAGAACACTGGCATTTCTATTTCTGTGTTCCCTCTAAAGTCCCCCACCTTCTTTGAATCGCTGCTCCGCTCAGAAAGACGGTCAAGGCTCCTGGTTCTGACTGTCGGATCAGGACTGTCTCGGGCTATTTGTGACTGAGAGGCCCTACATGGCTACAGCCTGGAGCCAACTGTCAGAAGTGTTAAGAAAGGACATTGTGGTGGGGCCACATCACTGTCATTTACACTCGGCTTTTTATAGTCCTGAGCCGTTGTTGCAAATGGAGATTTGCTGAAGTAATCTTTGCAAACGAGTCATTGGAAAACAAAAGCCGAAATTGCCCAAAATGGAAGCGTTTCTCTCTCATCTTGTTGTTAACAAGAAAACAACTTAACAGTTCGTTTGATGTCTTCTCTAATGGGACCATGAATAAACTCCACTGATTCTACCTAGTCACCACGATGGTGTCCCAGATTGAGACCGTGCCATGTTTTGTGTAGAATTTGATACGAGGTGAGAAAGGCGAATGCTTCTGATGACGAATAGGTAATACCAGTGGAACAAGATTAGAAAAGATCTTGGTCTCTCGTCCACAAGATGATGAAAGATGGTTGATTATTGAATACAGACAATTTCAACTAAAAGAAATGTCATTTTTAACAGTAAAACTGCCAACAGCTAAAATGGACTTGTGTCTTTATTATGATTATATTTAATTTTACTTCAATAAAATGTTCAACTTTCCCAGTTTGTGGCTTTTCCTAAGAGTCTGCCATGGAGCAGCCTCTATTGTTAAAACACTGACTATCACAGGCCATAGTTACTTACAGCCTTAGTCATGTTTGAAGGGTATTCATACGATACAATCACAAATCAGCCTCAGAGGACTTTACACTGTGTACACATACGACATCCGCTGACCTCTTAAAAACTCCCGATCCCCCATCCAATATGTATGTGACAAAAATGCCAAAGGAAACCAGAAATTAGGAATATGATTCAAGAGTTTTTTGTACTTTTTTACATGCAGATGTATATGTTTTGGATTTCCACTGATTTTTACTATTTTAGTATTTAGTATTTCTATTTTAAATGGCTGCATCTATTTCCTAACCCTTTAGAAAAAGTCCATTCCATCTATTTTGTAGTCATCATTTATTATTAAAGAAGACTTGAAACTTTGAGATTAAGACCATAAACTCATGCTCATAATATTTACTGAGGGAATAAATCAAGAGAGAAGAGTCATTTTTCTCATAGACTTCTATGGGACCAGAGGAGTCTCCCCCTGGTGGACACTATAGAGAATGCAGCTTGAATGCACGCGTTGGCCTCCCTCTTCAGAAGCGGAAGTTTTTTTCTGGTGGAAATCTCAATCAATCTCAATGGCCCATTGGCCACATGATGGCCGAGTCTTCAGGAACAATCTCTGAGTCACATATGTACTTAGTAGGAGACAGGGTTTCCTCAGACATCTTGCGTCCTGCCAGTGGTTTGAAAATAGTTTCTTGTTATGGCTGTATTATCTGAAATATTGTGTTTCTGTGTATGTGTACTTTGTGTTTGTGTACTGTAGCTGGAGGAGGAGCTGTTGGGTCTGCAGAAGAAGCTGAAAGGAGTGGAGGATGAGCTGGACAAGTACTCTGAGTCGCTGAAGGATGCCCAAGAGAAGCTGGAGCAAGCAGAGAAAAAGGCTACAGATGTGAGTGAAGGGGGCTGACTAATACTGGTACTGCAGAAAGGCAACTATATCAAGACAAAAATCCCCTGTAAATTAACCCTTAACTTCAAGTCTTAACTTCTTCATTCAGATATCCACTGAGCAGTCAAACTTTACACGTCTTATGTCCAGTGGTGTAGTCTATGTGATACGCAGGTATAGGCCGTATACCCACTTACAGAAGTCTGTCCCTGAAGCTACACAGACCACGGTGACCCGATGGCTAACGTTACCGGTACAGAAAACCAGCCCGAAAATTGTACCCCAACGTTAATGTTTCTGTATACGGGGTGTCGCTGTGGGACGGGCGGGTATGAGGCTGGGAGGGGAAAAGCACAGCATACTACAAACATGTAGACTACACCACTGCTTATGTCCAATAATCACAACCATTTTTTAATGCTGACCTTCAGGAGCACAATTTAAATCAAGTCGAACTAAATCTCGAGAGCCGCATCACTAGTTTCTGACGCAGGGTGGCGGTAGAGTCTGACATGTGGAGTATCAGATTCTACAAACATATCATGTATCATGAAGCCTTTCAGCGCCTTGAGGAAACCACCATCTATTCTCACTAATCAGGGAGGATGTTGCTTCTTGACTCCTTGTTTTAGGGACCAGCCTGAGCAAATGCTGCTGCACTGATGCTCATGTGTGACCTCTTGAGTTCACACTGTGATGATACCAGTGTTCACTAAAAGAATGCTACAGTACTGTTGAATCATACGTGTATTATAGAACATTTTTCATCAGGTTTACTTAAACTGGTATTCTCCTTTTTTCCAAAACATTTGATTCTGACATACAAGGTGGTGCCACCATGGAGCAAAAACCCATAACACATCTGCCCTTCTCCAACTGCACACACACACACACACACACACACACACACACACACACACACACACACACAGACACGCATTAAAGCACAAGCAGAACCAGGTTAAGATTACTCAAAAGTTGTGTTCATTTTTAGTCTCAGTGAATTCTTACTGACCTCCTACTGGAGCTAAATAAGATATTGTAGATCCAGTGGGGCACTGGATTTGTAAGAACTCATTTTCTCATAAACACGGTGCCATTCCAGGCCGTGTTTACTTCCTTCCCTCCAGCTGGAGCTTGAACCTCACTCACTATTTACTCCTCAACAGACTTTGTAGTCAAGACATCTACTAATCTGTCACGGTTTTGAGAGCTCAAACTACAAAACAATGTCAAAATTAGTAAAATTGTCTCATACCAACCAATTATTTTGCATACAATAATCATATTAAGAGCCACAATTAACCCTGATCAAAATAAGTCCCAAATAGATTAATGATAATAATATAAAAAGGTGGACCTGGTTGTAATAACACCTCCCCTATTTGTTTGTGGACTGCTGATTTGAAGCCAAACCTTTGGCAATTTTTACCATCACTATGTTGTTCTTTTGCAACCATTTAACAGGAAGTGACCATATTTGGAGTGACATAAAGTTCCAGTACCCAGCTTCGTTAGAGACCTGTCGATCACTGGAGGCGCTGTTCAGTCCAGTTAGGTAGATAGATATAACGTTTATTAATCCCCAAGGGGAAATAGCAGCAGTACAGTAAATAAAATGAAAAATGCACAATGTATACACAGTACAGTAGAATAAACTAAAATAAAATAGCAGAGCAGAACATATTAAATTAAGTGAAAGGAGTATGTACAGTGGGGTGGAATATATATTAAATTGATTTAAATTAAATTAAAAAATTAAATTAAGACAGTAGTGTTGTTGATCAAATAAACAAGGATTTAGCCAAAGGTGTTTTGTTGTAAAGTCTTATTGTAGTTGTCAGGAATGTTTTCCTGTATCTGTCCTTGTGACAGCGGAGCCAGATCAACCTGTTGGAGAAGGTGCTCCACTGTCCCAGTGGTGAAGAGGGTGGTTCAGGTTGTTTTTTCAGTGTCCGAGGGTAACAAAGGGTAACCGTGTGTAGGCTCACGTAGGCGGTGTAGATACCAGCCACTGTAAGTTAAGTAAGTTAACATCATATACCACAACAGGAAAGAAAACGTGAACAAGAACAGTGTATTGCGGGCTACAAAATATATTTGAGAAGGCACAACTAAATTTTAAAAAGATTTTATGCAACTGTCACTGCTGGAGGCGGTGTTCAGTCCAGCTGATGAAGGTGGTGTTCAGTCCAGCTGATGATGGTGGTGTTCAGTCCAGCTGATGAAGGCGGTGTTCAGTCCAGCTGATGAAGGTGGTGTTCAGTCCAGCTGATGAAGGTGGAGACAGCCTCTAATACAAATTTCCCACAATTATGCAAAAGCATATTTCATCAAAATGAGCATTTTAGTACAATCCATTGGAGTCCATTTATCAAATGCTTTTGGTTTTGATGAAAAGCTTGCAGCTTATACTATACCTTATATACTTTCTAAGGTTGCACAGAGGCATCCTTTGTGTTTTTCCACACCCATTACCATTCTGTGGAACCCCAAAGGTTTGTAGGATCTCTCAATACCTCAAATGAAATTCTAACATAGACATGATGAGGTAAAAAGGCCAAACAGGAAGATCAACACGACTTTGGAGCTGCTGACATAATCCAACTCTCCAAAAGTAGGTCCGCTCTCTGCACATCTATCAGTTTGAGAGTACGAGACTACAATGGAGACATCCCCGGTGCCATGTGCCCTCTATCCAGGACTCTCATTCTTCCAGAGTCAGGAAACATCCCTTGCAGACCCGTTGCACCCTGAACACAACCATGTGCAGGTTCTCCCCTCCAGGAGGCTGCAGCACACTTCCACTTCCTTCCTGCAGGTCGTCACTCTGATGAACAATTCTAAAACCACTATAAACAGTCTTGAAAGTTTATTACATGCAAGTCTACATATCATCTGTTACTGCCTTCATGATGCCTACATGCTATATAGTCGATGGTGGCGCAGGAGTAGAGAGGGTGTGCTGCGAACTGCAAGGTTGGCGGTTTGAGCCCCAGCTGCCCCATGTCCCATGTTGAAGTGTCCCTGAGCAAGACACCTAACCCCTAATTGCTCCCCAGGCAAAAATGTAAAAAGCGATGGGTTAAAAATGCAACGTATGTCGCTTTTGATAGTGTCAGCTAAATGACCTGTAATGTAAGATGGAGCCTATATAATTTATACAATCTACAGTCCATGTATATCAAATCAATATTTATTTATTTCCACACTATTAGTATCAATTACAATTACTTAACAATCAACAATTATTAGCTTTACCTTTATATTACATTAGTATAATTATATATTAGTATAATTATACTAATGTATGTACGTATATTGTGATAAGGAGGTTAAATAAGTGAGCTAATTATTTTCATTTCAGCCTACAAATCATTCACGGATCCAAATTAGGACAATTAAGTACAAATGGTTTACTATTAATATCGATTTATGCGCGCAGATGATCGAGATTGCGCTTATCCCGTTTCAAAATAAGATATCTATTGGTACTGACAATTGCTTTATTTTGAAGTCGTGTCCGGAATAATTGTCGTGTTGATGTTGGCCTCTGACGCCGTTGCCACGGAAACACCGCGGCACCTGGAAGGAGCGGAGTCGCGCGCTCCCGGTATGGCGACTTTCGCGTCTCTGGACGCGGTCAGGAGGAGAATACAGAGTCTGCAGCAGGCGGCGTTCGAGGCGGCAGAAAGAGCCGAGCTGCTGCGGGAGGAGGCGGACCTGGAGCGGCATGACAGAGAGCGGGTAACGCCCTCTGCACACGGGGAACATGCCGCTCACCAGGGCGTCGACCAGGGTGTAATTCATAATGTCAAAGGTTTGAATTAAAAGACGGGGTAGTAATGAAATATTGTAGCTGTGTATCTGGCTATGACAGTACCTTCAGTACTGAAGCTGTATCCTAAAGTGGATATTAATGGAGACTTTAAGTAAGTTTAAGTAAACAAATCATGAAATTATGAAAGGGTCACTTTTAATAACTGTTTTAAATGTTTTAGAATAATCACCTAAATGTGTATGCTGGAGGGGTTCTTTCCACTTTTCTAGAAGACAAGGTCATGGAAGCCTAGATAGACCCAAATCTCAAAATTGATCAGTGCATGAAATGTGTAAGACAGCGATTCCCAAAGTGTGGGCCGCGGCCCCCTGGTGGGCTGCGAAGGTACTGCAGGTGGGCCGCGAGAGGTCATTTACAATAAATAATGTTTTTTAATTTTCAATTTTTAAAAGTTTGAAATTAATATAAAAATATTTATGATGCGGCACGTTAGTTATGTGAAACATTAGTTGATGAAGCACAAACAATTTAAACGGACAGATTAATAAAACAATAAGGCTCTCGCTCAAAACGGCTGCTCTTGTCCGCCTGTCGTTGTTCAACAAACGGGGCGCCCTCTTGTAGTAATAAAGTAAATATACCGCATTTTCCGCACTCCAAGGCGCACTTAAAAGGCTTTAATTTTCTCAAAAAACGACAGTGCCTTATAATCCGGAGCGCCTTATATATATGGATCAATCGGTTAATCGGTTGATCCATACTGATTGTACACGGCGCATAAGTTATTCTAAAAGCAGCCGAAGATGTAAGGCGTGGATGGCGAGGGGGCGGCGGGAGCGGACGCACCTCGCGGCATCGATCGGACCCTGAAAGCACCGTCTCCACCTTACTGTCAAAAAAACAACAGCGAGCGCGTAGAAAACTCCTTCGAGCGCGAGCAGAGATTCTCCTCGCGAGCAACGAAGTTCACGTTTCGCAAGCGAGCAAATACCTCGCAGAGACCAACTTTTGCTCGCGCGAGACAGACTTTTACTGGCGGATGTTTGATTTTGGTTAAATTCTTAAGGTCATTTAATCATTATGTTTTGATCAGAGTTGTGATTAAAGGTTTGGGTGGGCCGCGAAAGATTTTTAGATTTCAAAGTGGGCCGCGGCATTCTTGAGTTTGGGAACCGCTGGTGGAGGAGTATTAAATATTCAGCGGCATTGCCATCTGACGTACACTTACACCTCGTTGTCTCATCTTAAGCATCGGCTTAACGGGCTGCTTGGCTGATGTTTTTACCACCAAAGTTTCTTTTGTTTACCTTTTGGTATTTTCTGCCTTTACATAACAAACTAGCTTGGAGTCCTGATCAGTGTGGTTCATTTCCTCTGGAAGAAGTGCTGTGAGGGCGTTTCAGGTATTCTAGCTGGTTTTACCTGGACTGCTGTCGCAAAATGGCAACTTGGACGACTAAATCTAGACAGAAGAAGAAGAGACAAGGTCCACCATACGGAAATATGGCCATATTTTACATTTGGGTGCTTGATTCATCAATATATTTTTGACATATTTGACATATTGAACATTTGTGAAGCAATTCCGAAATTGTGTCTTTCATTTGTTCATCTGTCTATCTGCTTTTATAATAGCAGTCATCATTGTTGATATGGTTATAATGTGACTTCTTAAGTTTGTTATCTACAGTAAGGTGTGTGTGTGTGTGTGTGTGTGTGTGTGTGTGTGTGTGTGTGTGTGTGTGTGTGTGTGTGTGTCTATCTATAGGCTGAGGCAGAGGTGGCGTCTCTAAACAGGCGTATCCAGCTGGTGGAGGAGGAGTTGGACCGAGCTCAGGAGAGACTGGCTACTGCTCTCCAGAAGCTGGAAGAGGCTGAAAAAGCTGCAGATGAGAGCGAGAGGTGAAGAGCGTCATGTGTCTTGAACAATTGCACTTGTAATTCATTTACTAGTTTGTGTGTTTGTGAAAGGGGCTTACGTTGCCATGTTCACTACTCCCCGTACTGAAGCTGATGGGTACATCCAGACCAGTATGTACCCCACATGCCGCGCTCCTAACAAGGCACGCTGCTGCTACCTGTCTCAGGTAGTACGGGTAAAGTGGGTTTGGTTTAGTATCATGCTTTACTAGCATTGGATTTAAAAAAAAAACAGTCAGTCAACTTCTTCAGGGTGATTCTGTTGACTTCATGGAGCTGCTCCTAAACAAGACAACATTAGACCCCAGTTGGTCATGATGTGCAGGGAGATGTTCCAGCGTTGTAGATACGGAGCTTCGCTTGAACTGTTGTGTCCGACTGACCGACTCTTGTCACTCAGAGGAATGAAGGTCATAGAGAACAGAGCATCAAAAGATGGGGAAAAAATGGAAATCCAGGAGATGCAGCTGAAAGAGGCCAAACACATCGCTGAGGAGGCCGACCGCAAATATGAGGAGGTGAGTGGTTACTGTTTTTCTCTGTAAGAATGCAGGGGGCTGCGTCGCAGTAATGACCACAACATACTACGACATAGTCATTCTAAACAGGTTCTGGAAGTGTCTGCAGTATAGAAATTTAGGCCCAGTAAACCATTTTAAGGTGTATGTTGTCAGCTGATGATGAAGCTTTGGGAGGTTTGTGTGTGTGTGTGTGTGTGTGGTGAGTTTACGACTTGTATTTGGCTCCAGACCAACTAGTACAGCACGTAAGTGGAACAGAGGATTAGCGTGCTGATGGCTGCTTGTCTGCAGGTTGCTCGTAAACTGGTGATCCTGGAGGGTGATCTGGAGCGCTCAGAGGAGCGGGCCGAGGTGGCCGAGGCGTAAGTCAACACCGTCACCACGGACGCACAAACCGACACAGGAGCCACTGTACATTATTCATGTTATCATATTAGAGATCGTGTGTGCACTACACTATGCACTCACTTGCATTTCTTGTTACCACAATATAAGCCCTTAAAGATGAGTTGTACCAACAAGGATTCCTTAAACCTTTGATTAGATTTAATGAAGCAAAGTTGTGTTGCAGACATTGTGAATATGCTTGCTTAAAAGAATCAAAATGAATCAAATCTCATTTTTAAACCAGGCAGTGTAATACATATGTATATGGAAAATACCAATCCCAATCAATCCACCATTTTCAAATGAAACTTCTCAAGTCTCAGTTTAAAGTTAATGCTATATCCCACCTATGATAATCATTTATATTTAAAGTGAAATCAGGATTTAATCCTCGTTGGTGCAGCCCAGTCTCAGTGTTTGTATTCACTGGAAATGTAAGTGCGCCGTGATTCTCCTAACAACGGCAACTAATAATTGTTTCACAATAAATGAATACATTATTTAGGCCATGAAATAGCATAATCTATCCTAACATTGAATTTACGTTTGACATCTGGCTTTGTGAATGACCTAAACATTGAAGTATTGAAATGGTTGACGATTTATTTTAATTGATTATTCACTTGACCGTGTGGCCATGTTTGAATCCCAAGTGTGCTTATATGTCATGCATGCCTGAAGACACCACCCCTCCTGAATGGGACCTGTTACTGTTTGTTGTTGTTTTATGGCCACCCTGCCCACTGTCCCCCTCTCACCCCCAACATCCCAACTAACCCCCTCAGGAGAGTGAGGGAGCTGGAGGAGGAGCTCAGACTTATGGACCACAATTTGAAGTCTGTGATGTGCGGAGAGGAAGAGGTACTAAACTCAAGCGATGGTCTAATCCTGCTCCTCTGACCTGCAGCCTCTCAAGCCCTCTCTTTCTTTCTGTCCAGCTTACACTTGGCCTTCAAGCAGCACTAAAAGTATACGTCTGCTGATGTTCTATGTTGTTCTTGTGAACTAATCCCATGAAAGACCAAAACAACGATGCATTGGGGGAGGGGGGGGGGGGGGCGGAGGGAGAGACGTCTCAAAAATACCTCAAACATTCCCAGTCAGGATCAAGCTGAGGATGTTGTGCTCACATAGTTCCCAAAAGGTGTTTCTGTGATTGATTGTTCAGTCATAGATGAAAGCAGATTCAGATAAACGTTCAATGCTTCGTGGGGGCCAGTAACTATTGCTTAAGTTTCCCTTCGTAATACCAGGAAGTTTAATACGTGTTGTATGGAAAATACTGTGCAGAAACACCGATTAAAGAAGTAGGAAATAAGAGATCACAGAAGAAAGTGAAGGAGAGACCAGACTGGAAGTGACTTCATGACACTTAAAAACTCCTGACTGCCTCGCTGGCCCAATTCCGTCATTCCGACATAGACGATGCAGCCTGCTGCCACTAATACTCATGGGAACCCAAATAGTGGATCATTCCAATGCTGAATATAGTTCCTAAAAAAACAACATTTTGTCAGTTTAAAGGACTGTTTGATGAAAAGTAGATGAGCAAACTGATTTAGCTCATCCTCTAAAAAAAGTTAAATTCAGACTTGAGTCTTGAGGATAAACAGCTGAGAGCCTAAAGCTCTTTGGTAGAGTCGTATTGAGAATTTGAATTGCAGTTGTTGGTTTGCGTCTGCACATGGGGCTTCGGGAAGAATATAGAATTACAATAGATTCAATTTTTTAATTTGTAATGAATCTGTTTCTTAATCGCGGCAAAACATAAAAGCGACCTTTGCTGTCTTACTCAGTCAGATGTGAATTGAGTAGCTCCTACTGTCTGTGAGCAAGGTAGACAAAGACGCAGTCGCTCAGATGTTTGGAGTGCTCCTTCAATCTGTCAGCCTGCTTTCCTACCTTCAAAATCACTCCTCTTTCTCCTCTTGCTTTCCCTGTACCTCACCCTGCTCAGTAAATCAGGTGACCTTGAGGAAGAGTTGAAAAATGTCACCAACAACTTGAAGTCCCTGGAAGCCCAGGCTGAGAAGGTACAGTAGGAGCTGAGAAGCATTCAGCCACGGGGCCGACCAGCCACAGCACAACTACCCACATCAAACGAATCCTAACACACACAATAATAGATTGTTACTGTAATTGTTACATTACTTTGGTCATAAAGACACCGTATGTGTCTCTGGTAGAGACCTGTCAATCACAGTAGCCACAGTAAATGGAACCACATTTACAAAGTTAACATCATATGTATAGAAGAAGACTTAAACCTAGATTGACTTAGATAGAATGCAGCTTTAAGACATTTCTAGTCTTCCAACCACTCAAAGCCCTTTAACACTACATGACATCATTCACACCCATTCATACATTGATGACAGGATACATAGTTACTGCCCATCAGTAACTAACATGCACACACTGTGACGACAGTGTGTGAATGTGTGTCTTGCCCAAGGACACATCGACATGCAGGTTAGCCAGAACTAGGATCAAACCACCAACCCTCTGATTGGAGGACGACCGCGCTCCCCACTCACCCACAGTCACCCATTAAGAAGGTTCTTATTTGGGTCCAATGACCCGTACGCTTCTTAGTGTTAGTGTCAGAGATCAAATTCTCTGGTAATGGTAAAATGGTGCTTATTGTCTTATCACCTTTAACAAGATGCACTGAACCATCCTCGAAGAGATGAAAGAAGATAATGTAACATCCCAGGACCACAGAAGACCCATCTCATTATTTTCACTATTTGATAGTTGCTTTAATTTTTTTAAAGTTTGCATTTGACCTGATCGAAAATCTCAATATATTAAAATGTACTTAAAGGCTTAAAAATATCCTACACCGGGGTTTTAATAAATAAGATGACAAATATGTTAGTCTATAACTATGTGATTTGCAGCCAGCATCCACATAATGGTAGTTTGGGAGTTTGGAGGTGGGGTTGTATGAAGTTCCTCTCCACAGTCATCTCTCTCATAGGAGCTAAACATGTTAGACACCAGAATACGGTTCAACAACCCTCTGGGTTTTTAAAGAAGACTTTGTTCATTTTTTAAAAAGGCTGATGCTCTGTGGCTGTTACTTACATTAAAGGCACAAACTGTGATTAAAGTGATGATACGGTTCAAATGCCCTGCAGCTGTCTTTTTCACTGAAAAGACTGAACTGTCTTTTACACCCGGTTTGTATAGTTACGTATCCTTGCTTTGCATAAAGAATAATCTGTTTTATTTTAGTAGTTAATAATACAGTTGTATATGCATGTTAATACCCTTTTCCTTGGATTTTAGTACTCACAAAAGGAGGACAAATATGAGGAAGAAATAAAAGTTCTTACCGACAAACTGAAGGAGGTGAGATTCTTTGTCCCCTTGTTTCTGTTGCTAATTGCTAATGCCATACAGAATTGAAGAATGATTGTTCACAGAACAAGTCGTTGCGTATACATTGATACACGTTGTTTTGGGATTTGTTTTAAAGGCTGAGACGCGCGCAGAGTTCGCAGAGAGATCTGTGGCCAAGCTGGAGAAGACCATCGATGACTTGGAAGGTATTCAACACTCGCCTGTGTAACGTGCCTGCTCGCTGTCATGCAGTGACTAATGCTGAAATAACAAACAGCCCGGCGACTTCGGGTTCTGCTGATGGAACTGAACTAATGACAAGCTGGAAAACTGCTGTTCGGACTGACAAAGCCAAATGATTTCTAAATTCTTGCATGTCCGTGGTCATTCAGCCTGGGCACGCATGCAGGGGCCTGAGCTGTAAATAAAGAGTGATCACACGATTACCCATGACGGAATGATGATACCGAGGCAAATCTTCTCTGGGGTCCTTCGCTTTGTGGACTTGTGGCCTTATTGAGCGCAGTTATGTGAAGATGTGCAAAGGGAGGATCACAATGTAACTCTGATTAGAGTTGAGCCATAAGCCTACAAAACAATGGCCCTGGTCCTACTTGTCTTTTTACTGTCGCTCTAGTGATCAGAAATGCTCAGCTGGGTCTGCATGGGTTTCCACACTAAATTGCTGATGAACAACCGATGGCTCAACTTGTGGCAGCCATTTGGAGTTAAGATAAAAGCCATGGACACGGGCTAAAGGCCACTCTTCTGAATGAGGTCCAACCTGCTCTACCTTCTGAGCCACAGTCGGCCTCGGCTGGGGCCCAGAACGCACCAATGGGACCTCGAGGTCCACGAGCCGATGGCGTAAACCACGTCACAAATCCTGATGCTTTAATGACGTCTGTTGAGCATCCTGTCGCCTGTTTTGCCACACTGCCTGACAGATGGGGAGAAGTTCTAAATCAGGCTGTGCTTCTCCTGCCGTACAGCCCGTTTAACATTGCCGTCTTGAGAGATGGCACTAAAACAGAGATTTGGGCTCCGAGGCCGAAGCCCCCAATGGTGAGCAGGGTAGCCAGGGCAAGGACCCACACAGCAACAAAGGCACTGAGACAACGGAAATGATTTATTTTGCAATTATTATAGTTGAAAAACACTTTCAAGCTTGAGTCAAACACAACAGGCATTATACAGCAGGCCCACTAGTATAGAACCAAGTGGGCTAACAACAATATAATATAAATACACAAAACTAATCAGATACGAGGGCTGGCTGACGGTTGATATTATAGCAAAGGGGATGTATGAGAAAAGAAAGGGAAACAACAAAGATAAAGGTCAAACACGGGGCACCAGATGCTGGCAACTTCAAAATAAAACAGGAAACAGACTAAACAAAAAAAACAAGATCATGATGCGGTGATTTTAGGTCACAGCAGCAAACATGTCTTTATATATATATATACAGTACCAGTCAAAGGTTTGGAATTTTTTCATTCAACTCAATGAGAAAGTTTGTCCAAACCTTTGACTCGTACAGCAGGAAAAATATGTATTGAACATGTCACCATTTTTCTGCGTAAATATATTTCTAAAGGTGCTATTGATATAAGATTTTCACCATATGTCAGTAAAAACCCAACTAATTCACACGTTCTGAAATTAAGTTATGTGTAATGGTGTGGGGGATGTTTTCTTGGCACACTTTGGACCCCTTAGTACCAATTGAGCATAATTTAACTGGCGCAGCCTACCTGAGTATTGTGGCTGACCATGTCCACCCCTTTATGACCACACTGTCCTCTGATGGCTACTTCCAGCAGGATAATGCACCACGCCACAAAGCTCATATCTTCTCAACCTGGTTTTGGTGACGATGCGTTCATTGTACTCCAATGGGCTTCGCAGTCATGATGATATCATGTCAATATGGACCAACAGAGGAATGTTTCCAACACCTTGTTGAAAGTATGTCACGTGAATTAAGGACGTTCTGAAGGGGAAAGGGGGGTCCAATCTTTTACCAGTAGGGTAGACCCAATCAAGTGGTCTAAAGACTAAATCTTATAAATTAACGAGTAATCACTTTAGAAAGTGTGTATTTTAGACACTGTTTTGTTAAACACCAAACTACACACATTTGATTATCTTGAAGGCAGAATTCCACTGTGTGGAACTTGTTGAACTAGCGACTTTTGCTCTCAACTCTCTATTATTTGACGGCTGTGTTTTGAAGTGCCAACAATCTCCCCACATTTAACCAGGACGTTGGATAATATTAAGCAGCGCCTTAGTAATGGAGTGATTACAGCACATGGAAACATTTTGTGTGCCACTTCCTGCCTCTTTGCTGTCAAAAGTCCAATCAAAGCATAACAGACAAATAATAATGTAGTTTACACTCTGAAATGAGCCAACCTGTAGAACGAGTTCATGTAACTCGATATTAGTATTATTTTCAGAACATACTTTTTTTAAATGTGTGTTTGTGTGTGTGTGTGGGTGTGTTTGACACTTGACTGTAGAGATCAGAGATTGCATTATTTGTCCGAATGAGCTGTTGAATCTTGGTGAGCTGCAGTAACCAGCTGATGTGGTGAGAATATTAACACTTGCGCTTCTTGGTTATTCGTTTTGGGTTAACAGCAGTTTAAATTCATTTTCTTTTTCCTCTCCTTTCACCTCTTTCCATCTTCGTTGCGTGCATCTCTGTCGCGTCTCTGTTTCTGTGTGTGTGTGTCCTCCTCCAGATGAGGTGTATGCTCAGAAGCTGAAGGGCAAGGCTCTCAGTGAGGAGCTGGACCTGGCCCTCAACGACATGACTACGCTGTAGCTGCTCTTTCACTTCCTCTTTGCTCCTTCCTGTCTGAGATATTCTCCACCTGCTTCTTGTTGTTTTGTTTCATTCCACAGTGGTATCAGGGACTGGAAGATTCTAGAAATGCAATGTGCCGAATCCACCCGCCTGTGTTACACAGCACTAGTCTTTGTACAGGGTTAAGTTATTGCTCCCCCAGTCACTGCTGTGTGTCTGCAGGTTCAATTAGTTAACATCTTCTCTTTATTGAATATTCCCCCTCTGTAATAAATGTATTAAAGCTCTGTCTACTTTTCTGTCTCCTTCCTGTCTTTCTATTTTGTTTACTTGTTTACTTAATATTCACTTCATATGGTATTTTTGTAGTAGTAGTAGAAATAAGTAAGAATGCAGTGATCCAGTCTCAAAATTCAGTATCAGGGCCAATAAAGGCATTGTGGATGAATCCGAATCCGCTTTATTGAGATATTGAGCCTGATCAGTTCATTTGTATTCGGCAGGTGTTTTTCTTTGAGAAGCTTTCACCCACAGCAACACAATAACAGTTTATTTATCTTATTCGTTTAATGATATATCATCATGGATCATCTCAATCTGAATGTTTTTATTGAGAGACCTTCCTGGAATGTTTGTTTAAATGTCTTAATGAGACATATTGTCTAATTAAAGGCTGGCGCGTGCCTCTGCGTCTTTACGCACCGTTGCGTCGACGCACTCGTTTCAATTCATGTTTCTAAAAGGCTTGCGTGTGTTGCAGAGCAATTCACCGTTGTTGGTTTGTTTATTTATTTATCATAGACTTTATTGCCCCGTGCATGGCCACATTTGTCCCGTATTTTCCTCCACAACTTTGTTCCCCTCGTTTGTGGAGATCTCCCTCCATGAATCAAAGTCCCGCAAGGGGGTATTGAGTCTGCGTCGCTCTGAAAACGCAGAAGCATAAACTAGGCTTTAGACAAAGAAGACTTACTGTATATAAAAAAACATATATATACACCGTATATATTGTATTTATTGTATGCCAATTTGCATTAATATCCATAATAGAACATTGGATAAAGCCGTGTTCAAAATTATTTCATTTTATTGACATAAGTCAAAGATTATTATCTTATTATATATTATATTATATATCATATATGATCAAACCCCTCTGTAAAAAAAATATACTTTTTAAGTTTTTCTAGCACAGTCAGACAAAAGAAAATAATACAGAAAAAACAACCTTTAAAAACTAGTATTGTTCCTTTAATGTTGAAAGATGCTGTGTAGGTTTTTAAGTGTCTTCTGCAGATGGAAATCTAGTGAGTCCTTAATTTTCATAATTCCTATAAGAAGCAGTGTTTCAAAAAATGAATACCATGATATGAATTATATTTTACAGCTGATCCATCCATTCCTGAAATTATTGGTGTTTATAACCTGGTATTTAATATAATCTATTTTAATTCCCAGTGTAACTGCTTGATAATGAGACTGTATCACAATGTCTTTTTTTAATCAGCTCTGAAAGTGTTCAGCTGAATATTCAAAGATGTGAAATTATTCAGGAATTCACAGAAACAAAGTAACATTTATGGAATATGTTATTTTTCATTCCTTCGTGACTGCAGTTATCAAAGTGATGATTCATCCTAGAAACTAGAAACAACGTCTCTAGTCAACCTGTAGAGATATATATATATATATGTATATATAACCAGCGTGGTGCCAGAAGCCGTATTAAGGTGCTAAAACTTTCAGAAGGTACTGTAAAGATCTGAAATATGGACACCTCTCCAGGCAGAATGTCAGACGACATCCGAGGGAGCAGTAAAAGACAGCTTTGTCAAACAGCTTGGTTGTGTGCTTGCAGAAGAGATCAGCTCCAGGCTCAGGTTAAAGATGAGCTCCACAATCACACAGCAGAGCATTTATCCAATAAAGATTCATGACTAAGAGCAGTTTGTTCTCACGTCTTATTGTGTGTATTTAAAAACACATTACCAACATCATCATGTAACTTAAGCATCTTTTTATAAACCAAAATGTAATGTTAAAAAGGTTATGTATTATTGGGTCAAATGAATATCGGATTATTTTCGAGTGAATTTGAGTACTGTAGGTAATGTGGAAGTGGGTGTCAAACGCAAACAAGATTTCAATCAAAATGGCTGGAATAATTTAAGAACAAAAATGCCTGGGAACAAGCATTTCCAAGAGCACAGGAACAAGATCAGGACATACACAAGAAAATGACGGTAAAGGTCTCAGGTTTAACGTGGGAAAACAAACAGATCGACAATGACACAAAGGACTCACATGGCTTAAATACAGTGGGACGGTGCAGGTGATTGGACACTGGAGGGAACAATTAAGGAAAATCCCGAAGGAGGGAAAACACACCAAGGCAGGAAGTGAAAGCTAAACCGGGAGGTGGGAAAATACAAAATAAAACATTCCAAACACCGTGACAGAACACCCCTCCTAAGGGACGGATCCCATACGTCTCTAAACCTAGACTTATAGCTCTGACCAAACTTGGCATTTTAAGGAGGTGTTCTCCAGCAGTATTTGTTTATTTTCCTCTGATCCTCTGAACAGAACTGAGCTTCCTGTCCGTTTTAGCAAACCTGTTCATGGTAAGACACAGGACAATACATGGTAGAATTAGAGGGTCTTTAGATTTTCTTTAGATCTCCAGTTTAAGAAATAATAAACTGTATATTAAATCTTTGTTTCCTTCTCCAGAGAAACTGGCCCATGCCAAAGAAGAGAACTTGGACATGCACCAGGTCTTGGATCAAACCCTTCTGGAGCTCAACAACCTATAGAGACCTTTACAGAGCCAGGTGGAGGACAATAACGTCTAATATTTCAGTTCAACATCAACAGTTGTTATGGGTAAAACAAGTCATGTGATAATGTAAAGTGACAAGAGCAAGTGCGTGTTGTGTGCATGTACTGTAAAGGACACCAGAAATGATCTTCCAATCAATAAAAATTGATATTATTCCATCTTGTTCAAAACTATCTCACAGTGATGTTTCTATTAGAAATGTTTCTCCTGTTTGACCAAACTCAATGAAGCATTTCTCATTGGGCATACAGTATTTGTGTATTTTGCTTAATTATATATTAAACCATTTAAAAACAATGATAACCGGTGAATGAAAAGGTTTGTTGAATATTTTTGATATGGACATTTTGTAACCGTTTCAACAAATCAAAAACGACAAATGCTCTCTGATTGGGGCATCAGATCAATTCATTTTTCAGTTAATTTCTGTATAGCCCAAAATCGCAAAAAAGGCTCCAAGGACTTTTTAGTGTGTCCACATGCCACATCCCGTCCCCAAAATCTTCATATCGGCACAGTAAAAAATTCTGAAAAAATTAATAATCCTTCGATGGGGAGAAAAAAGGAAGAAACCTTGAGGAGAATGGCAGAGGAGGATCCCTCTCCTGGACAGACTGCAGTGGATGTTCAATTTCTACAACAGAAAGTATTGAAATATTGAGAGTAGAAAGCCAGGACCACTGGAGGAACAACCACCATCATCCAATCCCTGAGCTGAATGTTGATGACAGGCGCCAGTCCTTAGAGGAACGTATCAACGACGTAGGGCCTACAAAGCAACATAGTGACGATGTAGGATGCATGGACATCCTAACGTCTATTCCTGAACCACTATTTTTTCCACGTAGGGAAAACGTGATTGGTTCAAGGAAAGATGGTTAGGAGAATTTATGGAAGAGACAACCGCAGTGTTTAGGGAATCCAACTCCACTTCCACTAATGGCGCGTTTCCACCGAGCAGTACGGTACGGGTCGGGTCTGTACCCTTTTATTTGTGTCTCCACTGCCAAAAGTTGAGAATGGTACCAAAAATCCGAACCGTACCGTACCACTTTTTGGGTACCCTTCCGTTGGGGTACCTGGCACAGTTGTTTGGTACTAAAGGGTGGAGCTAGACTCACTGCAGAGCGTTGATTGGTTGAAAGAGTGTCGTCATTTACGCGTGCCGCAAGGGGAAAGATACCACTCCTATCAAGTGACGCCATCACTACTTTCTGGAATACACCACACCTATCAAGTAAGGGTACTGTTGGCGGTGGAAACGCTCGCCAAATCATGGTTAACATACCCGACCCGTACCGACCCGACCCGTACCGCACCGCTCGGTGGAAACGCGTCATAAGCTTCGAAGTTATGATGCCACGGGAGACGTCAGAGACGTCAGCCTGTATCGTGAAACTACAATTTGTCTGAAGATGGACTACATCTGAAATGCCTTCATGTGTTGTTACAGTGCTGAGTCATGCAGACAACATAAAACAACCAGGTTCAAAGTATTACTTTAAGGTTGCAATATAAATGAGTTACGCTAACGGGACGCTTACGTGATCTGCGTTTCTCGGCCATGATCGTTATTTCTCGTGAAAGTAGGGAATGTGGCAACCAACGGGTGTGGGTGAAATCACCAGACTCGGATACACGTCTAGCTGCACAAGAAAAGGGTACGATTTATTGTAACATACAAAGTAAGGACAAAGGGAAAATTAGGTTCTTCCTCTTTTGAGGGTGCGGTTCAACGGGTTCGTTCAGCCTTCGGTCTCCTTCCTGCAGGAAGCACAAAAAAACGGGCTTTAACACTCGTGCAAACAAACCCCGGCGTGAAGCCAGCTTCTACTCACGTCCAGGGCTGTAGTGGAGGGTAAACGCACGTAAACGCCGTTTACGCACCTCTAGAATTTGGAAATAGCGTTTACGCACCTATATATAGCATTTACGCACCTCTAAGTGGCGTTTACGCACCTCAAAGTTCCCTGCGCCTTGTATTCTTCCGTTGGAATAATCCGAAATAAACTTGGTTTAATTTTAAAACAGCTAAGACTACGTTTCCTATTATTGAACATATAAACGCCGTAGTCTGAATCATGTTCATCTGCGCTGTATTGTGGTCTGTGAGCATCCAATCAGTGCCTTGCGGCTGCAGCAGCGACACCAATCAGTATCCAGGAGGCACATACACATTGTGGATCAGCCCAGTGGTCCCCAACCTTTTTTACCTCACGGACCGGTTTCATGTCAGACAATATTTCGCGGACCGGTCGAGAAGGTCCAACGGGGGGGGTAGTAGTCGTTGCGGGCGGAACGACCGACGGGGGGGAGTAGTCGCGCGCTCTGTGTTCGCTGGTCGTGCACGGTAAAAGAAAAACGCCTGGTGACGCGTAGATTAGAAAACAAGTCAGTTCTCAATGTGAAAAAAACATGCTGTATAGGCTATTTATGATGACATGAGTGTTCCTTTAACTTATGTTGTCAGTGTAATTGACAGGCTGCTTAACTGGTTAACTCTTAAATTCAACATATTTTTTCAGGCAGTGAGAGGACAGGCAATGATGCTGAGAGCACAGGGAGAGGAGAAACACCAGGTCCAATAGAGAGAGGAGAAGCAGAGAAGAGCCATGAACGTGTTCTGGGGTTCATGGCTCCTCTGTGCAAGGCAGGACCTGACGTGGAGGACAAGGAGGCCCTCTGGGCACTACTGTAAAAAGGAGACTCCATATGTAGATAGTTCTTAATCTGCAATTGTCTTGTTGTGTTGTGTTGACATACTTTTCTTTACTGTTTTCTTAAATTTAATTTAACTACAAACTACTAACCCGTTTATTCATTGTCATTGATTGTATATGACTTTTACTGATAACATAATGCAATATAGCCAGGACAGCCTTACAGAGTCGCAACGCCTTGTGTTGCGTTGCTTCGCATCGCGTCGAGGTCTGTATGATCACAAAATTCAGAGTTTACCCACCTCTAATTTTACCACTACAGCACTGCTCACGTCTCCCGGGCTGTTGGAATGGTTGATCTTTTATAGTGTGGCCAACCTTCATCAGCCTCGTTGTCTCCTGAGGGGGCGGGGGTTTCCCCTTTTGGTCACCTGACCTCTTGCTCGTTGGTGCCCCTGCCCTTGGTGCTGCCCTCTTGAGGCGCTGTCCAGAGTGCTGCGCCCGTGGGTTGCCACAGGAAGCATCAAAGCTCCTATCGTGGCGGCCACTTACACTACTTCCTGCTTAAATGTTTTTACGTTTATACTTTCCCTGCTTGCTGAGTTGGCACTCATGCAACTTGTTAGGCCTCAAAGCTTTACTGTTGGACATTATTGTCTTTACAACATATCCGTATTTTTAAAGGTAAGGTAAACGGAGATAAATGGCTTCCTCCCCAATCACATACGTTTGTGTACCTTTTGATGAATCTTTTTACTCTTTAAACGATAAAACGGAAATCGGCGGGCGTTTTCCCACTTTCATTGACAGTCAAAAGTACACTTTTCAATGCAATGCAATAAAAAGTTTGTATGCTAGAAAGTTCTCTGCGATGCAAGCGTACCAGGTTAACATTAAAAGACATGTTCATGAATGAATATAAATAAATGACCACTGAGGGTTAGGGTTAACAGTAGATGACTACATGCAGATGCATGTTCCTTCATCCATGCACAGCGATACTACTAGTTCACTGTTTAATGGAATATGTTTAGTAATCTAGGTAATAATATAGTTGATAATATATTTTAATCAAGTGGGTTATTGTTGCACACTCGTTGCTGTTGGTTTGGATATTTATTTTTCATGTTGCTTCAGTGAACCGAGCAAGAATTTTGGCAACTGATTGACAGCAAAAGTACACTAACATCTGGTTAAAGCAAATTCCATTCCTGCAGCTTTCTCGTCCTGAGCGCTTTGTTGGTGCCAAAGTGTGACACTTAGTGTTAGTGAGCCCACCTCTTGTTGGTACCACTGTGCAGCCGTCTTCAGGCTTTTTTCTGTGGCGGAGTAACTAGAAATACTCTTCCTTAAAATAAGAATTGAATGTCTCTTGGAAGTTCTAAGCCTTTGACCAACATTAAATCTTCTCATCCTTTGACCTCTTCGGTTAAATCATTTAATTCAACTCTGCTCTGTTCACTAATGCATCAGCGTGTAGTCAAATACTGTTGCTAACACACTGATATGGGCCTGGATCATGTATTTTGTATTTATTAATTAACGTGTCTTGTAATGTTAACCTGGTATATGCTTGCATCGCGGACGAATGTCTAGTATACGTAAACGTCCCATTACGTTGAGCCTGGTTTACGCTTCTGACGTAGCAGCTTAACCGGATGTAACGCACATCCGGTTAAGCGGCTACGTTTCGTATTATCGTTTTATAGGCAAAAAACAAAAAGGGGTTTACGGGAATAAAAATTGGTCGTCGGCCGCCCGTTTCCGGTGTCTCGTGTTTTGTTTTAAAACGATGTTATTTCCGTTTAATCGTTTAAACGGTAAAACGAAATATATGAAAAGGTACACGCACATAATGTGGCGTTTTGTTCTGCGTAGTCGATGCTCGCGCCCAATAAGCTCGCGGACCTTATTGGGCGCGTGCATTCTACGCGACGAGGGGGCGGAGACATACTGGAAAACAGAGAGGGATGACGCATACCGGAGACGGGAAAAGTGGAAATCTCCGCTTTGCCAAGTGCATTCACTGAGCATTCGAACATACATCTTCCCTCCGTGTAGTACGCCAATGCGCTCACCAGCAGAAACGCCGGTCCATCGCCATAATGTCCCCTCGTGTCAGTTTGGTGCAGCAGCGTGACGTGTTGCGGCACGCTGTCCTCTTGACGGGAAGTGGGCGGTCCTTCCCCAGCGTCGACAGAAGGCTGCGGCGCACATAGGTGTTTCCGCCAATGTTATGTTAAAGCATAGATTCAATATGGTATCGATATAAAATCATCACACAGGGACCCGTATTGAAGCCTTTTAGGTAAGTGAGAAGGTCCAGCCTTTGACTGTGGAAACAATATGGCGTTTAGAGGGAGGTGAAGGTGTAAAAGCTCTCGCTGCTATCGTAAACATTACATTACTGCGGTGTGACGGTCATTTACGTAATGTCACGTACGTTGTTATTCTCACACTAACATGCTCCGCGCTTACGTGCCTTTCTTTAACAACTTCACGCAACTTTGGCCGTTATTAAGTACCTTGTTAAAGTGAGAACCGAGCATGTGGGAGGGTGTCAGGCCGGAGGAGCTCCTCTCCACCGTTAGCTTCCACCGTGAGACCCGGTGCTGAGCCCGCGGGTCCGTGTTTGTGTCCCCAGCTGCTGCTCGTCATGGTGTCCGTGGAAGCGATCCAGCTGTTGGTGTTCGCCTGCATCGCCTTCGCTCCACATGCTGCAGCTGGTCAGTAAACTGCTCCTTTTGCCATTCCATTTAGATGAGTAGTTCCCTCACTTTGTTAATAATGTAATAGGAACTTTAATTGCAAGCCCCCCAAACGGGTGGCACCGTCTGTGTTTTCAATATATGTTTTTTTCTAAAATATGTACGTCACTCCTGGTACACTTCAGTGTATTGCTCAACGTGTTTTACTGAAAAATAATTAGCAATAGTACATTTCCAAAAATATTGCCCTTAAGATTGCTTTCAAGTGGTACTTCAAATGTTGAAACTGAGGTCCGGGACAGTAGGTTTTTCAAACTGAATAAGTGCGTAATATAGAGCATGGATCGGGCCGACTTTTTCTGTCCGAGCCCGGCCCGCGTCCGCCAGAGCTGGGCCCGGGTCCGACCCGAGTCCGACCCGAGTCCGACAGCCTTTAAACTATTTTGTCCGAACCCGTCCCGAGCCCGACGGGGTCAATGTCTCAACTGTTCATCATAATGACACATTCACAAACGTTTTTTTTTTTATAAATAGCCTGCCTTTATTAAACTCAGGCATCAACAGATAAATATACTCGCTCAAACAAACAAGCGCTGTTAAACGCACGAGCACGTTGAAAATAAATTATAAACAATGCAAAAACGGAGAAATAGAATACACACGAAACAAAACTATGTCGATTTTAAATATGGAATGTTCAATGCCTTATCGCGCTGATGTGTCCGAGCCCGACTGTATTTTCTAAATATTTATCCGAACCCGGCCCGACCCGTCGGGTATCCACCCTCTAGCGTAATAGAATAAAGACTGATAAAAGAAAAGTACTCTTTCTACACATAGCTCACATTCCTATTCATGTAAATTGCATCCTGACACACGGTACCAGTCAAAGGTTTGGACTGGTGCTGTATTCATTTATAACCGGAACCGCAAGGTTGGTGGTTCGAGCCCTGGCTGCTCCATGTCGAAGTGTCCAAGAGCAAGACACCCCCCCCCCCCGGGCAAAAATGTAAAAAGCCATGGGTTAAAAATATAATGTAAGTCGCTTTGGATAAAAGCATCAGCTAAATGCGCTGTAATGTAATGTAATCAATAAAATGAACCTACTTGAAGTGCATGAAGTGCAAACAATCTATATTTTCCCACGTTTAACAGTAGACCTCTCACATCAACAAGACATTCTTCGTCCACACAACTGCCGCTCTCTCGATATTTTCTCTTCTTTCGACCATTTTCTCTTTTCATTCTTTGAACGAAAAATACAGTGTGTGTGTGTGAAAAATAATAAAAGCCATCATCTGATGCTAGTTTACTAATTATAAAAGGAGACCTTGTACCTGTCCCTGTTAAATGCCCAGGCCCATGACCTCTGTCCTGCAGGTTGTAACTTTACATGCAGTGTACCCGTCAGAAACGTATGTTGTTCCACTGGTTTGAGTTTGATTACAAAAAATGAATTGCTTTCTGGTTTTGTTAATATTTTTGACGCTTTTTCTTGTGGCTTTGCTCTTCTTTATCTTCAGACGACAACCCCCGTTTGGTGATTGCCCCACAGTCTCCATATTTAGAAATTGGGACCAACTTTACGGCTACGTGTATGATCATCAATTCAACCGAAGTCACAGCGGATGACCTCTACTGGGAACTGAATAAGACCATCGTGCCCAAAGAACAATATACCAAGATCAACACATCTGCTCTCAATGTTACTGTTCACGTCACTGGTGAAAAACCAGGGTGGTTATATTGTCTCTGCAAGAAGGCGTCGCCCTATTTTCCATTGAACAAAGGCAAACTTATTCACGGGATCATCCTCACAAAAGGCTGTAAGTTTGTGTCGACAGGACTTTTTTTAACCGCCTCTATTGGGAAACTTTCCATGGGAAGTTAAGCTTGGGAATTTTGGAAATTTTGAACATTTTTATTTGTAAAAGCATATAACGGAAGTCAATGTAGTTGAGAATAAGACTACGCAAGCCTCGCTCAGCTGGACCCTGGATGCACCTAGTTGGGAACGTTGTCTGCCATGAAACATAAATCACGGGGATTACACTATTTTATTCAACGTTCAGGTTTTTGTTGTTCAGTAAAACAAGTTCTTCTCACAAATGGACTAAGCAACTTGAAAGCATCCTGAACAAATAGCAGACAAACTAATTTCATTAAACATATACAGTACCAGTCAAACGCACATCTTCTCATTCAAAACGTTTGACCGGTACTGTGTATACATACACACATACACACATACATACACACACACATACATACACACATACATACATACATTCCTTAAATGAAGCCAATGAAATGTGTGTTTCTTGCCTCCATGTCAGATCGTCCGGGGAAGCCAGAGAACGTGTCCTGTATGGCCGTTCAGAAGGAACGTTTCATCTCTAAAGCCTTTCGCTGTGAGTGGGACGCAGTAGGACGTCAAACCACAGACGTCCCTACATCATATATACTTTATGTTGATGTGACCAAGTAAGTGTTCCCTCCGTTATGCTTCCTTGCCCAAAGGAATTCGTTTTTTTTATCCGGTTCCCCCCTGCAGGATGAATTAATCAGTTTAAGGTTTTTCATTGTGTGGGAAGGTTGGTAAGGATGATTAAGGACAATATTTAATTTGACATAGTTCTGCTCATAGAATCAATAAGGAGAAACACTCCAGAGTTTTAGAAGGTCCCTTCATTCAGTCAGTGTATCTGCAAGATATTTGTGACTGCAGGCTTTTTCAGCACACTACAGCAGCGAGGTACTGAATCGTCACAGTCCAGCAGATCACTGCTTTCAACTTTGAACCCATCAAGTGAGCTAGGTTTTATATATTCGATTAGATTAAATTCAACTGTATTGTCATTACACATGTACAACTCCAGAGCAACGAAATGCAGTTTGGCATCCAACCAGAAGTGCAACAGAAAGTATTGCTTCTTACTCCAAATCAGAAGCTGGATTCACATGTGCTTAGGAAGGTTCCTGGAAGCGGTGTCCGCCATAATAAGAGCTGTTGGAATTCTCCAATTGTAGGGATCGGAGATTCAATGCTTCCTTACTTAGCTCCTTTAGCATAGGAACCATCCTTTACCAAAGGAGATCATTCTGTCGCACACTACTGTGCAGCAGCCGTTCACGAGAAATAGCGATCATGCAAGTAACTAATTTATGTTTCAACCTTGTTAATAAAGTAGCACTTTGAACCTGGTTGTTTATGTCGCTGCATGACTCAGCACTGTACCAACACATGAAGGCATCTAAGATGCTTCTTTGTAGTCCATCTTCAGACAAGTTGTAGTTTCACGCTGCGGACTGACGTCACTAACATGTGACTCCCGTCGCATGAGAACGGATTCCCTAAACGGAACTGTTGTTTCTTTCCTTGACCCTGTGACCTTTTCCACAGAGGTCAAGGAACAGTGGCTGGGAGTAGACGTTAGGAGGTCATTTTGGGGATAATTTGAATTTAAAGTGTTAACTGTTTGTGTGAGGGGCACATTATGTTTTCCCCAAACTCCAAAAGTTACAAATAGTGATGTGATGTATATGTGTGTTTATTTACGTAAATTATTAAACTCTGCAAGAAGTCCATTTGTGCAGCTGTGCAGTTTCTCTAAATGGTATACAAATATTACGCCCACAGAACCATGTTATATAATGTATCGACCGGTGAAAACCATGCCCAAGTGGAATTTGTGGACAGTTTCCCCGATCATATGATGCTGGAGATCTGGGTGGAGGCACACAATAAGCTGGGGAAAACACAGTCTGAGCATCTTAGTAGGGATGCTGGCTCGTTTGGTAAGTGTGCATTTCTATGTCTGCTTGTTTGGGACCTAGTTTGGCCCAAACTGGGACACGCCAGGATCAATGCTGAATTGTGACTAATGACGACAGTTTGTTGTGCCTTCTGTTACAGTGAAAACCAACCCTCCATCAGATGTCAAAGTCATTTCAGAGAAAAGTTTTACCACCTCCCTTCTGATAAACTGGACTCATCCTATTGCCAGCGAATATGTAAGACTAAGCTATCAGATAAGATACTGCCATAATGGATCCCAAAGTTGGACTTATGTAAGTATGTTTGTTTAATCGGGTAATCTCTGCTTTATATACATGTTTCTTCTGATGAGCTGAAACATTTAAGTGTGACAAATATGCAAAAAAGAAAATAAACCAGGAAGGTGGAGATACTTTTTCACAGCACTGTTTCTATAAATGGACAAGTCTGCTCTTCGTATACGTAGCTATATTTAATGTCCTTTAGGTACCTCTTGATGACACTGCCAAGGACATTCAGTCCTTCAGGCTCCAGAGCCTCCAGCCGTACACAGTATATGTCGTTCAGGTGTGCTGCAAAAACAATAAAGAGGGTCACGGTTACTGGAGCAACTGGAGTACCAACGCCACCAAGAGGACACCAGAGGACAGTGAGTCTCATGACGTGGCATTTTGAGGACTTTACACATCTTCATAAAGCCTCATTTTAGCACTAATTATTAAGTTAACATAAACATTTAAAATGTAAATTAACAGCATTGAACATAATTGACAGAGTGAACCTGCCGACTCTAATAGATTTGTAAGATATGATGTCATTATTTTCCTCATGTTTGGTAAAGGAGTTCTACGTTTGTTTTTTTCTAGGACCAAGTAAACCAGATTTATGGAGAATCATTGCTGAGGGGGACGGCATAAACCAACGACAAGTGCAGGTTATCTGTAAGGTAAATAACCACATCACATTTAACACAAATTGTCACACCTAATGATACAAATATACTGTTTAAGTCATCACTTAGAGGTCAGTGTCCAACCTCAAGTCTTAGAGCCTGATGTCTAACATCTCTACATCCCAATTATTGGCATCAGGATCATTTCCAACAGTCAGCAGTGGGAATATCTGCACTCAGCCGTATCACAGCACAAGTAGTCAATGCATATTTCACTAATGGCGAAATAACACATCAACTTTTTTGCTGTTTTGACTGATCCATTATAGCAGTGACACAGAAAAAAATCTCACGGCACACCAACAACCGGAAATGATATCAAAATCAATCCCAAACATAGTTTCAGCATGAGCATAATAAACTCTAAGAAATCAGGGAAACGCGTGTTCTATTTGTTGTGTTTTATTAAACTTAACATCATCCTAATGGGGCGGCACGGTGGCGTGGTGGTTAGCACTGCTGCCTCACAGCAAGAAGGTCCTGGGTTCGATTCCGCCCAGTGGCCTTTCTGTGTGGAGTCTGCATGTTCTCCCCGTGTCTGCGTGGGTTCTCTCCGGGTTCTCTGGCTTCCTCCCACAGTCCAAAGACATGCTCTGGGGATCAGGTTATTTGGGGACTCTAAATTGCCCGTAGATGTGTGAATGTGAGTGTGAATGGTTGTATGTCTCTGTGTAGCCCTGCGATTGGCTGGCGACCAATCCAGGATGTACCCTGTCTATCGCCCGAAGTTGGCTGGGATGGACTCCAGCCCCCCCCGCGACCCTGTGTGCAGGATAAGCGGTTTGACGATGGATGGATGGATCATCCTAATGCCAAGATGGCACAGGCTTTATGCCCAGGTATCTCTTAAGCCTAGTTTATGCTTCTGCGTTTTCAGAGCGCAGACGCAAGACCCCCTTGCGTCGCTTTTCACACCTCCTTGCGTCCTTGCGCGTGTCGAGCCATTTTACTAGGCTTGCGTCGCTCCCCTGCGATTGGTCCGCTAACTACGTCCTTTACGGAGTCTCACATTTCCGCTTTCATAGCCCGATACTGCCATTATTAAAAATAAGGACGTTAACGAGAGAACGGATCAGATTTAAGAACTTTTGTCTGAAGAAATGTGTAAATATGAGCGCTTATACAAGCCGTCATTGGCGGGTTGTAGAAGCGGGTTGGATTCACGGAGGGAGATCGCCGCAAACGCCGGTTTGCCGGTCGAGAGGTGCACAAAGCTGTGGAGAAAAATACGGGACAAATGGGGCGCGATGAAAAGCAGCAGTGTTGATGCACGGGGCAATAAAGTCTATCATAAATAAACAAATAAATAAATAGACGTGTCTATCTAGGTCGTCTTCAACAAAAACACATCACTCCGCCTGTGAGTATTTTGTAGTCTGCCTTAAAAAAGGCTAAATATGTTATTTCGTAAAACAAGTCTGAAAATAACAATGGCTCTTTTTGTAATAAATATGTACAATAAATGTGTTCTATTATTGTTTAAAAACACATGCATGGCATTTGGTGGCATATTCCCTCTAAGTGAATAACACATGACGTTGTTTCTTTAGCTTGTGAAATTAGCAGAGCAATTTAAACAGCTGTCATGTTTATGTCCCAACATAAAGCTTCTTTCAAATATAAACTCCATGAACTCCACTCAGAGTGTTGATTGGTTTTGGTTTTAGTTTGGAGTTCTATTTAACACAGGAGGGAGCCTTTAAGGGCAGTAAAGGAGTTTATCTTCATCATTGAATTATGATAATAGTAACCAAAACCATGTTAAAATGTAACCAAATAGTTTCTTTGACACTATTACACCCTAGTTTCTGAAGACCACCTAGTTTCTGCAACAGTTTCATTTTGAATTGATTGATCTTTGGCTTTGTTTCTACCAGCATCCAGCTTTGTTGTCCAATGAGAGGATATCGAGGTTCAACATAAAGGTTCAAGACCTAAAGGATCAATTGAAGAATGGGAGTTTGGAGCCTGAGAGCATCCCCGTCAACCGATCCCACAGCGGCTCTTTCACCGTCCTTAAACAGATTCACCTGGCTGATCAGGAATCTGTTAAAGTGTTTGTCACTGCTGTCAACTCTGTGGGGATATCTGCAGAGGAATCGTTGGCTGTCTCAGAAAAGGCATTGGGTAGGTATCCACGGTGACGCCCAACAATGTCTAATGAAAACGGCTTCATGTATTATTTCTAGTGTTGCTATACACTATATGCATACAGTTTTACTGCATACAGTTTTACTTTTCCAGCGATTTGTTTTTTCTGTCTTTGCAAAGAGCTAATGATCAGTGATCATGAATGTATTTTCTTTGAGCTCTCTGTAAACACTGCCCCCCCCCCCCCGTGTCTTCAACTATTACTGCATTTCTGCTCAGTGAAAAGTACAGCTGATCAGTTTTCAAATGACTTTTTGTTAACACGACTTGAATGCAGTCTTTTAACGTTGCTGGACAAACCTTTTAACAATAGAAATATGGTTGTCTCCTTGGATGAGGGACGCTGTTTGCACCCTTAGATGGAAGTGATGTAGGGTCCCCGGATCAAAGATCTCCAAAATTCTTTGAATTGTGTATTAGAGGAACCTGGGACTGACTATACAAACTTAGTTTCTTCCTCTAAAATAAAACCCGAAAGAGATTATTAATTACACTGTTTAACTCTAATCTCTACACTAAAACATCTTTCTATAGATTATTGTCACGAGTTTCTTACCTTTTTTATTGATAAGATAAGTGCTGTGAGGTTTGTATTCATCCTTCTAGCTCCAGCCCCTCCCGGTCTCAGATCAGGCTATAAGACTCGAAGGATTGAAAGCCAGTGATGTCATTAGCTTGCCCTGAGACTGAACTATGGACTTTACATGACTAAGTCCACGGCATCTTTTGGTCTCATGGGTACCAGGTCAAGACCCTGGTAACTTGTTGCATCATCTCTCCTGGCAGCTAGTGTCAGATGATCTTGTGAAGAAATTAGAATTGGAATTTGTCCATAGAAAAATATCTTTTTTGCTTCTTTATCTTTTAAAAAATGAAAAAAACAAGTGTTGAGTTTATATTTTAGTTGTGTATTTGTCCAATCGACATCCACGTATTGTACATGACTTAATATACTGCTGCACCCCATGGCTGTGTTTTTTTGGGATGTAATGAGCTGATTCCCAAATCCTCCCCCAACTTTCCATCAGTCCAAAGCAGAGACTCGAGCTGTTTATCAAACTGCAGCCGAGCTTTCAGCCGCCGGCCTGATTGGAATCCTCTGATGGGTGTCGTCTAATCCTGCTGCACTAATCTGTTGTCTGCTGTTCTAAACACACAAAGTAACATTGGGATATTGTGTGTGTGTGTTCCAGAGTTGCCTGCAGTCAGTGATCTGAAGGTGCGGCCTCGTGGGGGCCGGCTGCAGTTAGACTGGAAACCCCCCAACAGTACACGTGTGTCAGAGTACGTGGTGGAGTGGGTCAGTGGTGATAATATAGACTGGGCAGAGGGGAAAAACGAAAAACCAGGGGCACCACCCATTAAAGGTAAGTTCCAGCATTCCATCAGGGATACTTCATACTAAATGTGTCCTCATTGAGTCAGTAGATTTGTGGGGGGGGGGTGACTAGGTGTATCTTTCTGTTACAACGTTAAACAAAATTTTTTCAACTCTCAATCTCAATGTAAAATCTAGGCATCCTTGAGAAGTTTGTCTGCTACAATGTATCCGTGTACCCAATTTACTCTGGACGGGCTGGGAAACCAGCAACCAGGACAGTCTATCTGGAACAAGGAGGTATGCTCTCACACACACACATCAGTGAGTGACTCATTGTAAGTAGTGAACCATTGTGGTTAGTATTGTGTCTAATAGAACCAGCGTCCTCTCGTGAGAGAGAAAAAAAATCATTTTCAACAACTGAATTAATTAATTTTAATTGTGACCATGTTTCCCACGTTGAATATAAAACAAACCACATCAGCAGAAAGGTCAGAGTTGCAATTTCAGGGTTGTGCAGGCAACCCCTGAATATGATATAATATGATATTACTGTACATGCACAGCACTGTCATCAGTGTGCATGAGGAGGAGCAGTCACTCCTCTTCACTTTGCTTCTTGTGTTGTCTCAAGGAACAACACGAATAATCGCACACATCATCAACGTTGGTCTTTTGTTAATGTGTACGTGAAAGCAAATTCATACAAAAAACAAAGCATATGTTGAAATACAAGACACTTTAGTCTTGTATTTTAACATATGCTTTGTTTTTTCCATTTATGCAATTTAAATCTATCATACCTGATGATAAACTATATATATATATTTTGTATTACTGTTGTTAGGTGTCAAGTTTTTGTGTTGTCCAGTCTAATATGTAAAGATGTCACTTTCTCATCGAAGCATCGAAAATGCTTGTTGGTGCCTGCGTTTGTTACTTTTAAAATCCGCTCTGTCGTTGTGTTTGCTTGATCCATTATAATAATAAGCTAAATGCTAATACCAGGTTAACGACCGATACAAGAAATGAAATCTCAATCCCACCATCACAGGGTTGAAGTCGTTTAGCAGGGCCAGCGTACGGCTATTGAGATCTGGTCTTGGGTTAGTGCTAGCTGCAGTTTTAATTTATTGATTTAACATTTATCAAAACCACCAGCAAAGTATTTTGCAGGCAGATAGAAAAACAACAAAAGATACATGCACATCTTAACAGTAAGGTCCCCCACAGTTTGGCGTGTGCAAAAAAAGTATAAAGTGTGAATCCCGTGTCATGATGCTGCTGTGTCGCTTGTAGCTCCGTTGGAAGCCCCTGCTGTTAGACTGAAAGGTAAACCAGGACATAATGAGGCCGAGCTCGTCTGGAACGAGATCCCCCAGAGAAGTCTGCGAGGCTTCATCACAAACTACACCATTTTCTACTCAAGTGGAGCGGACGCTCACCGTACGTAACTCTGTCATGAATAGAACGAGATTGCGGTCTATCAGCGTCACGCCGCCTGAATTGTTTTCCTCACAACACCCAAACGCTGCTCTTATTTCTGTTTTCCTCATTTTCAGAAATAACCGTGCCAGCTAAAACCACCTCATACACTCTGAAGTCATTGGAACGCAACACCAAGTATGACACTTGCATCAAAGCCTCCACCATCAACGGCTCAACCATCAGCTCCAACCACTCATTCACCACTCTGGTATATGGTGAGTGGAACGACCGCATGATGCTTCAGAATGTTCCCAAAGCCAGTTTCTACTTTTTCATTATTTGGAAATTGTTTTAATACTGTTCACACAAGTTGATCAGCTCAATTTATTTGCATTAACTGCAGAGACAGCTGTGGTCGAAGGTCAGTGTGATATTTGGTAGAATGTGGTGTTCTGTTTTCCTCAGCACCAGGAGAGATGGAGGGCATTGTGGTCGGAGTGAGCCTTGGCTTTCTGTTCCTGTTTGTCGTGACCATGCTGCTCTGTGTCTACAAGAAAGACGCGTGAGTCCCACCTGAACGGCTCAGTCGTGGCTGCCAACTCGGCACAAATGTCTTTGAGGAGAGATGTAGGGTCCCCATTAGAACGAAGGCCTTTCATCACACCAGTGTGTGGCCATTCATAACAGCTGGAAACAACATCTACCCTGCGCGACACACAGTCTGCAGAGGACCTCCACTGTGTCCCTAAAAGTGATTACTCATTACTTTTAAGATTTAGCCTTTAGGGGAAAAACAAACATTCATTGTAAACAACATTGTAACAACAACAACATTCATTAATGGCCATTATGTCATTATGTGAGATTAATTACTTTATAAAAAATATCTAGTTACAGCCTTACTGGAAACCCTTCAGTCCGTATAAACTGGTCCATCTAGAGCGGTACGGACCCTTAGGAACTGGACTGTCCAAAGTTTTAACTATTCACCACAGCAGTTGTCCATAGCAACCAAAAAGAAATAGTAAATAGTATAGAAACACCAAATCCCACAGCATCCGCAGTCTGTAAGCTGATACATAACCTTCAGTGTTCCTTCTCTTCCCACAGGATCAAGGAGAATATTTGGCCCAGGATTCCAAATCCTCTAGAAAGCACCATTGGAAACTGGTCTCCTGACTATCCTTTGAAAGTGAGGACTCCGTTTGAACTCACACACTTGAGGGTCACTGTAGTTGTCAATGTCCAACAAGTCAACATCCTATCACAACATGACATGTTGACGGTTCGCTCGCTCAGTGCAGATCTCTGCAGCTCTGTTGTTTTCCAGCTGTAGCCTGCTTTTCATTTTGCAGCAGAGCCGGTATCACTGTTAGGGACCACTGAGAAGTCCCAGGTCCAAAGCTCCATCAGACTATTTCTTTAATAGCTGTCCAATCAGGTCCAGCTTGTTACACAATGACAAAATTAACTTTTAACGTACACTTTTTTATCCGTTCCTCCAAATTAGTCTTGCAAAGGTTTGTCGGGAGTTCTCCCGTACGGCGCAGCCGAAGTTGTCCATCGAAGTTTGGCTCCACTGCTTGTTGTGGGTAGCTGCAAGGCCTCATTAATGCTGTGCAACGCCTTTAATTGCAGTGTTTTCCCTACTTTATATAAAAGTTATAAACATAGGGGAAACAATGAAGTGTTTTTTTGAGGCTCGTAGTACTTCGGTGATGAGATACTTCCAGTTGGCAGTGGTTACAAATGTCTTTGTTGTAGAGATTAAAAATGAAACTGTCCATTTAAAAGTGCAGTACCTTTCTCCATGTTCTTGGTTAATGTGTGCAGCAGTGTTAAACCCCTTCCAATGGTCCAAACAAAGTCTGTTAAACTCATGATGAAATCATTGTTGGAGTCTTATTGTTACCACCCCATCACTGCTCCCCAATCCCTTTCCTCCTTAAGACTCCAGTCAGCCTCATTCTGGTTATAATGACAGGATTTCTTTTCATCTCTTCCTCCTCTCCAGGTGGAAACACCCAAAGACAACGGTCTGTGTGGCGTCAGTGTGCTCGACGTGGACATTTGTGATGGTAAATGCATGTTTGAGGAGGACAAGGCCAGCCTGGCCCTGAAGAAGGACAAGTATCTGTCCGAGGAGCATAGCAGCGGCATCGGGGGCTCCTCCTGCATGTCCTCACCTCGCCAGAGTGTGTCCGACAGCGACGAGGGCGGCGACATGGCCGACACCACGGCCAGCACCGTTCAGTACTCCTCCGTGGTGGCGTCCAACGGTTACAAGGGTCAGACCCCAAACTCCCAACCCCAACAGGCTGTATTTTCACGGTCCGAGTCCACGCAGCCCCTGCTGGACTCTGAGGAAAACCCTGATACGCTGCTGCAAGAGTGCGGCAGACAGTCCCAGCGTGTTTCCCGGGGGCCCTGCTCCTCCCACGCAGAGGGAAACGGTGACATCATCGAGCAGCAGGAGGTGCTGGAGCCTCTGGACTTCTGTCCCCTGGAGGAGGACTGTGAGCAGGTCACACCTGCAGACTCCAGCTACAGGCCTCAGCTTGGTGGCTACAGGCCACAGTGAGCGCAGACAGACCCACATTTCCTTTTGCTTCACGCGCACACGTCCTTTTTCATAAGAAAAATATACCGTACCGTAACAGTATACCAGTTCTTTTTCTACTTTCATTACTCTCTCATTAGCACTGATGTCACGATGAGGTCATTTGCATAAAGCGTAGCCGAGCACTGTTGGCAGAAAAGCTTGTGATGACGCTGAGCCGCACCGGGATCGAATAACAACACGTATTGGACTGTGCTTTGCTTTTCTCCCTGCTGATGGTCCCTTGTTTAAGTGTCTTGCTGCAGCGCCTGCATGTGGATGGCTTTACCTGTGCAGGTGTATTCAAGTAACAAAAGATCACACTGGACCAAGGACCAGTATGAAGGATTTAGTAGGATCTATTAGCAGAAATATAATCTAATAGTCAACAATATGTTTTCATTAGTGTATAATCAACTAAGTGTTGGCAAGTGTTCAGCCATGGCTAAAAGTTTTTAGAATTAGTTTTCATTAAGTGTACTTTTCCAGTGGTTTTAAATAGTTTTGTTTGATGTTGCTGGATAAACTGAACTAGAAATACATTTCAAAGGCTTTTTATTGACAATGACATTATGTGTATGCAAAGAATCAACATTTGCAGTATTGACCCTTTTTTTAGAGACCTGTGCTATTCGCCTTTGCAGGTGGTCAGGGAACTTCTGGGCCACATCTGGATTGATGGCAGCGCATTCTTGCATAATCAATGCTTAAGAGTTTGTGGGTTTCTTTCTTCTATTAAGCAACCTTTTCCTTATGGCAAGGTGCTCCATCATGCTGGAAAAGGTATTGTTGGTCACCAAGTCGTTCTTGGATTACATTACATGTCATTTAGCTGACGCTTTTATCCAAAGCGACTTACAATAAGTGCATTCAACCATAGGGTACAAACTCAGAAGAACAAGAAACAAGAAAGTGCAATTTCATCAAATAAGCCGATTTACAACTCGCTATAGATGGGTGACGTTACAAGTATAATTTAAGTGCAACAATTTGTTAGTCTTTAGTCGAGTCTGAAGATGTGAAGGGTCTCTGCGGTCCTGATGTCTTCAGAGAGCTCGTTCCACCATTTAGGAGCAGGACAGCAAAGAGTGGTGATCTAGTCGAGTGTTTTGCTCTCAGTGAGGAGGAACGATAAGTTTAGCAGATGCGGAGAGTGCGGGTCGGGATGTCGGGTTGGACCATGTCCTGGATGTAAGCTGGACCCGATCCATTCACAGCATGGTAGGTGAGCACCAATGTTTAGAACTGGATGCGGGCAGCCACTGGGACCAGTGAAGAGAGCGGAGGAGTGGAGTAGTTGGATGTTTGGAAGAAGTTTGGAAGAAGTTGCCTCAAACCTTCATCTGATAAATGGTTGATTTTGGTGCTATTTTGCATCTCACACTCGCTACGAAATATTTGCCTGTGAAGCCCTTTTTGTGCAAAGGAATGATGACTACAAATGTTTCCTTGCAGGGAGCTGTGGTTAACAGAGGAAGGACAGTGACTTTAAGCACCCCCCCTCCAGTGTGTTATTCTAACTCAATCAACCCGACACTGATCTGCAGAGAGCTGTCACCCAGGGCTTTAGTGGCAGGGCTGAGATGCAGTGGAAATGGCTTTTGGGGATTAAGTTCATTGTTATGGCAAAGAGACTTTACAATTAACTGCAATTCCTCTGATCACGCTTCATAACATTCTGGAGTATATTTGCATCCAGACTCCAGGCAGCAGACTTTGTGAAAAATCACACTGGTGTCATTGTCAAAATGTTTGTGTAGAATGCGTCCTTCATGACTACATCTGAAGCAGGTTCCCTTGTAGTCCGCCGTGGTTCACTGCCATGTTTCCACCAAAGCCCAGAAGGGACATTTTTGTTCAAATGTTCCCTGTAGGCTGTCGTAGTCTACACGCTTATGGGAGGGGAGTTCAGCCTCGGTGCATTCCCCTCTCTCACCATTGGATGCCGATAAATACAAAACGCTGCTCCTTTTACTGCCATTGAAGAAGTCTCAAATTGTTTACAGTTATCATGAAAACCACAAGTTTTCTGTTATTCACTTTTCCACAGCACTATTTCAATGGCAATGGTTCAAGAGGTCATGCATTTAGGGACCCGCTGACAGAGGAATCATTTATTGCCATAATATGTCAGACATACAAGGAATTTGACTTGGCAGTTGGTGCGTAACAGCAGATTGGACGACAAGACATCAGTGCACGAGGAATAAAATAAAATCTAATGCTATGGGTTAGTAGTATAAATGGTTGAATGGCTTCTCTGTTTTGAATCACTGATGATGATCAATACAAAATGTAGGTCATGATGTCAGTGGGCGTTACTGTGTGTGAGACGAAGTACATTTTCTGAACAAGGATGTCGATGCTTTTTTTTTTTTTTTACCAAGAAAAGAATAACATTCTGCTACTTTCTGCTCACTTTCGGTTGCTCTTTATCTGAGTAAACCTACAGTGCCGTGAAGAAGTATTTCCCCCTTGCTGGTTTCTTTTTTCTTTTGCACATTTGTCACACTTCGATGTCCTCAGACAAAGAAAAAAACTGAATAAATACAAAATGTAGATGTTAGTAATCTTGTTTGCCACCTATACTTTTTACGGGGTCACGGTGTGGGGGGGGGGGGGCTACACCTTGGATTGTAAAATGCTGTTTTTAAATGATGATTCCATTTATTAAGGGGGGAAATATCCAAACCTTCCAACACCCCTCGATAAATCATGAATAAACTAATTAACCACATTTTTTGGAAAGCTGAGTTCAATTTCACAAGCCACACCCTAAAATATCTCCAACAGCAAGTCCTCATTCTGCAATCTAAAGTAATTCAAGAACAGATGAGAAGCAGTCTGGAAAGGGTCAAAAGGCCATTTCTAAGGATTTGGGACTCCAGAGTTTCTCTGGAGGTCATGACTCAACAAAAAGGCTGGATTTTCAAAAAAAAAAGACCTTTTACCATCTATTCCCAACCACTATTCCTTGACCTCTTTGGAAAACTTGTGTCAAGGAAAGATGATCAGGAGAATTCTGATGCGACCAGAGATGCATGTTAGTGACGTTGGTCTGCAGCATGAAACTACAAAGAATTGTTTCTCGTGAAAGGCCGAATAATACGTCACTATTTAGATATTGCTGATGCACGGTATTGTGGGACGGAATTGTCTCCTCTTGTAAAAGATGATATAGTGGTGCCTGTAAGTAAGGTCGCATTGCATCTCAGTTGCTTAGCATTAGAGATTCCTAACAGCTCTTATCAAGGCGGCCACTTACTCTACTTCTGGCTCATTTCTCTCATTCAGGAACCTTCCTCAGCAAAAAGGACTATTTGAAGCCAGCCAAAGAAAGAGACAACCAGGCATCCGTGGGAGAGAACCACTGCTGACGAAAAATAAATCGAAGGCCGAATAACATATTGATGATCTTTTGGGCAAATATTCTATGGGCTGACAGCATTTCATAAAAACCACATGATACCTGTAATATTGGGTGAACAGGGATTGGTCAGGTCTGTTGGGTTTTCAGATGGAGCCAAGTGGGAAGGTCATAAAATGCCTGGAGGCAGAGAGGAATGTCACAAACATGGAAGGAGCTACGTTTGATTGAGCAGCCAATTACATACGGCTGTAAAATAACGTGTTACACTATTCACAGCGTATTTGTAACTGTATTTACTTCTCTTATTAAGTCCTTTTTGATTTTTGAACTCTCGTCGGTTGATTCTTTTGGCCTTGCACCACCGGTCCGTGCAAAGGGAATGATACACTGCGCCTTTGCTCCGCATATATCTATATATAATATGATTTACATATATATATATATATATATATATATATATATATATATATATAAATTCCCTCTTCTTAATTTCTTTTGTATATTCCTTGCTGTTGTGTGTTTTAGTAATAGAGCGCATTGCAACCAGGGTCAAATTCCACGTGCATACGCACACATGACGAACCAAGCTGATTTATATTGGAATGCTACATCACGTATCATTATATATATATCAATATCAATATATATGTATATGTTTGATCTGAATTGATATCATTATATGACTTGAATATAATATAAATATAGATGATTTTCCTGTTCAGACTATGTGAGCGTAGTGAATCGTGTCTCTTTAACTGAGGTATTCCCAGGACGGAGGAGGTGGGAGGAGGTTCATCGGGTTCATGTAGTATCGCACGCCTCCTCCCGTCGCTGCCTCGGAGAACGCGGGCGCTGCGAGGCGGGTCGGCGATGGCGCACGACGGAAGGCTGCGGTGGAAGCGGCTGAACGCTCGGGCATGACCTTTTCTTCGGGACGCAGAGAGCCGATCAGCTGTTGGCTCCAGACGCGCTGCCATTTTCGGGTCATCCGAGGCATCCGGCTGCAACCAACCCGTCCGCATGAGACCCGAGCCCGCTGCAACCGTCTGACTGGGATGGGGGGGTCCGCTTTGTCCTGAGCTGTCTGGTGGTGGAATATCAATCATGATGGCTGATGGGTGCTGCAGAGGGATGGAGAGAGGCAGGGGTAAGATTGCATCCGATTCGTTACCGAGACCCACTTATCCTCAGCAGTACGTGCACGGCGGATCGCAGCAGCAGCAGCAGCAGGGCGCCGACATCCAGGAGCTCGCATCCAAACGCGTGGACATCCAGAAGAAGCGCTTCTACCTGGACGTGAAGCAGAGCGCGCGCGGCCGCTTCCTGAAGATCGCCGAGGTGTGGATCGGAAGAGGCCGCCACGACAACATCAGGAAGAGCAAGCTGACGCTGTCCATGTCCATGGCCCCCGCTCTGCGGGACAGCCTGGGGGACTTCATAGACCACTACGCCCGCATCGGGCTGCGGGGGGGCCTCGCGCCCTCGGCGCCGTCTCCAAACGGCTCCGCCGTGTCCGACGAGCATGCCCACCGCGTCCTCAAGAGCGAATTGATCGAGAGGGACAACAGGAAGTACTTCCTGGACCTGAAGGAGAACCAGAGGGGTCGCTTCCTCCGCATACGGCAGACGGTCAGCAAGGGACACGGCACCATGGGCTACTACGGCCAGGGCATCGAGCAGACCATCGTGCTGCCCCGCGCAGGGGCTCATCGAGTTCAGGGACGCGCTGTCGCAGCTCATCGAAGACTACGGCGACGAGGAGAGCGACGACCAGGGCCGAACCGGATCCCGAACCGGCTACCGGAACCACGACGACAGCCCGGAGCTTCCAGAGGCCGCGTCTTTCCGGGTGGACAACAAGAGGTTTTACTTTGACGTCGGCTCCAACCGGTATGGTGTGTTTTTAAAAATCAGCGAGGTGCGGCAGCCGTACAGGAACACCATCACGGTTCCGCTGAAAGCCTGGTCCCGATTCGGAGAGAATTTCGTCCGGTACGAGGAGGAGATGCGACGGATCTTCTCGTGCCACAAAGATAAGAGGATGGACAGCGAGGAGCGGGACGACTGACTGCAGCAGGCTCACATCTTGCATGCATTTTAGAGACACACACACACACACACACACACACACACACACGCACACACACACACACACACACACACACACACACACACACACACCCGCGACACGGTCCGTGGCCTCCCACTGTCCATCTCCACGACCAAGAAATAACCTGCCAAGAAGTCATCCATTCACAGCCCGATGGTGCATCCATGGCGCTGCTATACGCCATAGTGTTGATTTACTCATGAGCTGCATTACAAGTTCATTAAGAACGTGGTCGCCGGCTATTCCACTCATAATTCACCACATGATCAATTGTATGTTGCGCACATGTGCAGACAACTGTCGACCACAGCTAAAATCATCTTAACATACAGTGCAATGTGATGCAATTACAATGAGAACATATTGATTGTATCACTTCTTTCATTTTGTCTCCTAAAAGGAAACCTCACATGTAGATGTGGCTTGTTGTTGGGGGGGGTGGGGAGGGGGGGGACTCTGCCCCAGGTAGGAAGCGGCTGCTGCATCGACATGCATCACACTGCTGGTGTGTGTTGTCCTTCACTCGACTACATCTTAACGATTACTACGTCTATAACACATGGGAAACAGTACCGCTGCACACACACAGGTGTTGAGCTATTTTGAGGTTAAGCTTTCACATCTAAACCCTCGGCTTACAGAGCGGGCAGAGTACCCTGCAGTCGGGTGGCAACGTGCTGATTTGCAGCTGACCCCGGCAGCATGGAGGCGAGGGCGGAGGTTTCTGATGAGCCGTTGGACTGGACTGCTGTGCGCATTTGGTCCTTGATTACAGGCTCCTCGCTCTGTTCAGCTCTTCACCTGCTGTTGCTAACCGGGTTTATTAGCGATTGCAAATACATTGTACATTGTCTTCATAATTCTATCCATATATATTATATATATATATATATAAATATAATATATATTATATTATATAATATATATATATTAATTCTTACTTTCTTGGGACCTCAAACACTTGAAAAATAATTGACTTTTGGCATACGGATCTCTATGAATATTGATACTTCTTGAAAAGAAGAAGCCGGTTGAGGCGTCTGAAAAGACTCCACTGGGCCTCATTGTTCTGCCGAGCACACAAGAGAGGACAGGAAAGCAACCTGAAGCTGCACTGCAGAAATACGTCCAGCATCCAATCTAGTTCTGCACTGAAACTTGGAGGAACATCCATATTTGTGTGCATAATTTTGTTCATGATCTGTCACCACTTTTGAACCACCATCATTTATATTCCCAAACGAATTGTGAACAGTTCACCAAAGACGAATTTCCTTCTCAGATTCCTTTATTATTGATTCATTTTTATTTTTGCGGAATGAGGATATACAATTCTCATTAAAAAAATAATAATAATATTATATATATATATATAATTATTATTTTATATATTTATATATATATATATATAAATATATATAAAAAAAATAATATATATATATATATATATACATATATATATATATATATATATATATATATATATATATATATATATACAGTACCAAAAGTTTGGACACTTTCTGATTGGACTGCATGAGAAAATGTGTCCAAACTTTGCGGTGGTACTGTATATTTTTTCTGTATATTGCTTTTCTATCCATTTTAATCCTCTTATGAGCCCTGAGACTGATCCCACTGAAGGAGACCGTCCATGTGCCAGTTGCATATTGATGCCTTTTAAACTCTAGTTGATACTTGAAATATTGAGAATTTTATTTTATATAATTTCACTGCATACCCCTTAGACCATTACTCATATATACACACTAGTTCTGAGGTCTTACTGCTTGAAGTCCAGCTAATACCTGGATGGTGCTATAGAAATGTGCTAATAGAGTTTCTGTTTGTCTCTGGCCCTCTGTGTTTATATCAGAGAGAAACATTAGAAACCACATTTGTTTCCCCGATGTCGTGGGGCCCCTCGCTGCTCATTGGTACACCAGTTAGAGAACGGATTGGTAGCTCTGACCGGCGTTTTAGACACATGATGCGTTTCCCACTATTCACTCTTGAGGATGTGATGAAGTTGTGTGTTGTTTTTTTTTGGTCTGCAATATTTCCAAAACCGATACTCTTTTGACACTCTAGAGCAGACTTTTTATAAGTCTGCTGATCTAAATATAATACAACGAAAACATACTCTACATTCTGTGTTAGTTGGATTCATAATTCTAACGAGCACATTAGAAGTATTGAGGAATATGATGGTGTCTCTGTAGCTATAATGACCACAGCTTTAGTAGTGACCAGCTAAAGCCTGAACATGCTGCAGGTGCACTGCTGTGGAGAAGCGTCTGCCAATCACATGCCAGCTCATCCTGTCACCTGTCAAGAGGTTTGTCATGTCCAGTCCTTTCTGATTGAGTGGCTGGTTTCCATTAAAAATTGCATATTGACATTTAAACATACACAAGGCGTGTTAAACAGTGATCATAATAGCAGCACAAAAACGCAACCCAACCACACCGTACCCGATTCTAGATCTACCTTAAAAAAGTGCCCAGCTTTGTTTTTGCAGAGGTGCTTCTTAAAATGAGAAACCCATCCCGACCCAGTTTACACAAGGCCTCATCTGCAAATCTAGATCATCTTATCATTTTATATTATCTTGGGGGTAAACCAATCATTATAAAGAGATAACTTGATAAACAACTACTTAGTTTTTTTGTTAAATGCTTTATGAATCAGACAGAATAAAAGGGTTAGACAGAGTTCAATTATTATGCAAACCTGATCTAATCTCCCACAACCCATGGTGGGTCTGGACCCAGTCATTAGGAATCAATGCTTTAAAATATTAGGGAATTAGCATCCAGTTTTGATCAAGAGTCTGACTCTTGTCTCTACTGTGGACCGATTGCACTGCTTCGTTTAATGGTGTCCAGATTTGGTGAAGGCTGATATTGATGTCGGAGGGAAAACAAATATTTATATTGCTTGCAACTAGTTGTGGTGATGCCTTGAGGTACATTAAATCACAGGACTAGTTGGTTTGATGTGTTTGCTGTCTGAGGTGGCTTGAACCATATTGATCTTGTCTGTTGTTTTTATTTTTCATATGAATGGAAAAGGTTATACAAAAAAGTGCAAAAGTATAACTTAAAGCACAACTTATTTAAAAAATAACGTGCAATCGGAGTCTACATCCAATTTTTCACATTGATTTTATTCAACATTGATCGCCATTAGATCGCTCTTAGTGGAGATATTCATTACTATTATATGATTATAAAGAGATTATATTCATTCTCCTGGAAGTACAATGACAATTCCTTAAAAGTTATAAAGTCATTTGTCTTTTGTATTCCAAATATCACTCCAAAAAGCACTTTATCTAAAAGCTGCACTTCCTTCTGCTGCTGGCTCCCACTGGGCGTCGTCGCAGCGCTTCTATCCGCGCCTTCGGTACAGAGTGACAATCATGGATCCCTGCTCAAAGAATCTAAACACAACCCCCATCATGACGGCTCCGCATCAAGGTCAAGGTCTATAGTGGAACATCCTGTGCACAGCAATGCAAAAGCCATATTAGATAATAGTGATGGATGTACTAATACATTCAAGTTGAATGGATTTTTGTGAAATGAGCACAACATTTGAAAAAGAGATTGGTGCCCCGGCGGACTTGAACGATGCGAGATGAATGGCTGATGCCTTTACTCAAAATAAGAACTGCAGGTTAGCAGAATTGAAAATGACCAATGTCACCCATTTTACTCGGGCTGTATTAGCCTCTTGTCAGCAGTTGGGTCCTGTTATTACTGGTGCAATGCTAGCTAGCGCCTTGCCGCCTGCTGTATTGCCCCCCCTTGCTAGACTTGCATTACAAAACAAAAAAACAAAAACAAAGCGTAATGCCTCACCACTCGGCGAGAAGCAGCACTATATGCAATTTCATGAAAATGGGTTTTTTATCTAGAATACGCACACAATACTCCAATCACTCTACTCAAGCTTTTCTGCTCGGCCATAACGTCCACCCAGCGCCCAGCCGAATTGTCTGCCCCAAGCCACCCACCCACCCTCCCCGCGCCGTAAATTCGAAATGTGCTTATTTTGGGAAAACCGTAAGTCATTTCTCTTAGCCAGCGTAATAGCACGCGGTTCCCGATGGGTCCCGACAGTTTGAGACTATTTTGAGACGGTGTGGGAGGAGATGCGTGACAAACTTCTGTACGGAAAGGAGAATAATAGAGATAATAATAATAATAGTAGTATGTGAGATTACAAGGAGTTTGGCTCAGCTTCGCTGGCCACACTCAATTACATTCAGATACATGTAGATGAATTAGGTTCAAATCAGGACACTGAACCTCACATGTAAAAGGTCCAATGTTTATGTTACACAGATTTTTTTTAATTTGCTGCAAAAATGACAACTGTTGTATCACACACTATGAAAACTCCTGATGCAAAGCTCCTCTGTAAAACATACTATTTCCTTACAGGAGATACTTTGTGCTCATTTCACAACATTTCCTGAGACTGAAATGAGTTTGGTATAAGAAGAAAAACATCTCTTTTCCTGTTATAGTCGTGTATGCTGCTGTCTTCTCTGTAGAACCAAGGTGTGCACTGGATGTTGCTGGTGGAGCCCTCATTTCCTAAATGGCGGGAACGACGTTGTACTGCTAAGCTAAAAGATTGATAGGAAAACAGTGTTGAGATTTTGATTTAATTAACATTTGTGACCCTGAGTAACATAACAAATGAACCCTCAATCTTCTTCCTTCAAATTCCAAATAACTAACTGCATAGAACGACAAAAGAGTTGAAAATACTTTGTCTGTATTTCTAAGAATGTTAGTCACTTATTTGAGTAATAAGTGTCTATCTAACAAGTTCATGCTCTTTGTTTCCATATAGAGAGGAGTACTGGTGCTGTGTTTCATGTATCCTTCATATTACCGCTGAGCTGTTCCTTGATTGGTTTCTGACAGACTTCAAATGCTAACGTGTACAATGAAAAAATAACAAGTGATCTGCAAACTTATTGTTGTGTTGTATGTTGTATCCTACAGAGTTGGAAGACCGTCACATGACATTGACATGACACGGGAATACAACAAGCAGTGTGTTCACATTTGGTCACAAAGGCTGCTCTTCCTTCTCTCTCGTGTAGGAAGAAGAAGTAGCTTCGGTAACGACCCTCGGTACTAACTCTTGGTTTGGTCTCTGTGGTCTGTGAGGAGTAGAACGTCTGGATGGAGAGTGATCTCCCAGCGGCAGGGCAACAGGACTGTTAAGAATTACATTAAAAAGGATCTAATGTTTCCAACCCTGACGCCTTAAAGCACCTTGTGGAGTGAACCGTTGCGTATTGCAACGCTGTCGTTCATTTTTAGCAAATGGGAAATGTTCGGTCAAATCTGCTGGTCAAAGCTAAAAGAAAAGTAGTTCTCATAGGATTGTTACCATACATCTGGATGACACGCCATGATGAGAATGGTAATTTTACAGCATTCAAAAGGAATGAGGTGGGACAGACCTCACAGTGTATTCATATTTCTGTGGTTGTGCAGGTCGAGTGATGGCAAAGTGTGCACACTGAAGAGTTCTGGCTTTTGAGTTGTCGATGTTTGGTACCCTTTTAAAAATGAGTTGAAATGAATAATGAAAACGTGAAAAGGTGTATATCTACTTAAGTGTAACGTATTACATTAGTGTGTCCTATAGTCCCATAGGCCAAGAGAAAAAACAAGCAACTTTTGTACTCCAGCACTTTCTTTAATGTATACCGTATTAGTTCATCCACTATATGTAAAGTATTGTATGAATAATCATAATTTGCCTTGTAATGTTTGAGCGATGCTATGTTTAGAAATGGTAACCAAGAAAACAACGTTTTTAGAGTGTATGCATGCCAATGCTTGGGTCCCAGTATAATAGGAAACTGTATGAAAAAAATGGTGCTATGTTATAATATTTAAAGGTGCTTTTATGGACCCCAGCTGCATGCAAACGTGAACTATCAAGGAAAGAGGAAATTGATAATGCTGTTCTCAAACGACTGCTGCCTCCCAAACACTTTAACACAAGTTAGTATTCCAACTGTGGTGTACGACACAGAAGTGGAAACATGTCAGCAGACTCCCTCCAAAAACGTGTTTGTTGGCGAGGAGCATTTGAACTTGGTAATAACAATCTGCCAGCAGGGAATTTCCTACTTAAAATTAGAAATGCAATGCATAGGACGTGACAGAAATCACACGTGATCACAAGCAAAGTCTAACTGTAAATGTCATCATCCCAACATCGCTGTCAGACAGACCAGAACAAGGCTGCAGCCTCAGTGGTTGCAGCCTTTGGCCCAGAGGATTACATGTGGACTGTAACGGTGTCTGTCATGAGGTGTTTGTGTTTTAAGAGAAGAAATGGGTCATGTCTATTTACAGTTACATTGCCTTTCTGACAAAGGTCTAAAAGATCTATAGACAATCTCTGACTTAATTTTGTACTTTTAATTATTCATATGTTTATGTGTTTCAATAAGTAGGATTTCATGTAGCAGAGTTATAGGGCAGCAAATATCAATACTCCACTCTTTGGAGGCTAAAAGTTGTTTGAGTGTAGAAAACTTGTGGAAAAGGAAACTTGGTTTATTGGTTGTAATGATCATCTTTTATTTTTATGTTGTTCATTAAATGTTTTAGACGATTATCAATGCTGTCATGTGTTTTTCTTTTGAGAGCTCCTAACCCAACCCTAAATCCGGGGGGGGGGGGGGGGGGTGGGTGACATGATTATCAAATTATAACATACTGTATGTTTCAGGATCAGGCACCATTTTCTACTTTGAAATACCGTACTTATTTTGTTAAATGATTCAGAACAGAGGAAGCAGGGAAATTATTAATGAGTCATAATATGGTTCATTTAATGAAAGATTGTAATGATGCTGTTGGAGAAGGCTCTTAAAGGTTAGTGGTGTCACACTTAAAGCAAAGTCTGCTGATTTATCTATATCTATGTTCTCTACAAATGTTGTCAGCATGTGAAAAAATAGATAATAACAGAGCATTACAGTTATCAGTTCATCAAAAAAGATGTCGGCGGACTAGTGCATGGAGACATACTGTACTAACAAGTCTGATTGGTATACATGTTGTACATATTGCGAAGTACATTTACTAAATCATTGAATGAATAAAATTGACTTGTTCGGCCCTTGTGCAGCTCACACAACAAATACAATCTGATGCTAATCGACGCCTTGAAGGCACCGCATGTGTAAATGTGATGCATGCGTCTGTGGCCATAGAGCAGCAGCTTATAAACAGAATCAGACAATGTACTAATTCATATTGACACTGTCAACATTTGGAGAGGTGCAGTTTTCTTGCAATTATCATTTTGTGTTGCTGCTTGCAGATTCTGGGCTATTTGGATGACAGACATTGCAAGAGACATTCATTGGGTTTGAACGTGTTCAATGTTTTCTCAACAAAAATGGAAAGATGAAAGGGTAAATAGCAATAGGTCAACATGGGTTACAGATAGTAGTAATTACAGATTATGCTAAGTGTTTTGATATGATTAAAAGAGAAGTAATGGGGAATTGACAACTGATAAACACATCTGATATGCAGGTTTTGTGTCGCATAGCACAGTATCCAGCAATATGTCCAAATAACTGGATGTTTTTCCAAACCAGGCCACTACATTAATATCTGCCACCTCTCATGTGAAATAACCAGATCTCTTCTAACCATGAAATAAAACTGTGTTTGTGAAATACATTTTCGGCTTTAAATGGGGACACATTAAGAGAATTCCACTTAGTGCTTCTACACGTTAATATGGCTGTCATGTTTACCAACCCCCAAACGCTGAAAGAAAACATCTTGCACATTTTTGTATGATTCCTGTAAGGTAGGTGACTACAGGGATCTTCACACAGACAATATAAAAAATGTAATGCTTTTTAACATCAAAGCATGTGAATGTGGGAAAGGTCAAACCCTAAAGGCAAGAATGAGTCTTAAAATAAGCATGATATGTCTCCTTTAATATAAAAAACCATGTGCATTTTCCTCCTGTGTCTGCGCGGGTTCTCACCAGGTACACCGGCTTCGCAACACAGTCTAAAGACAAGCTCTGGGGGACAAGCTCTGGGGGACAAGCTCTGGGGGAAAAGCTCTGGGGGACATGCTGTGGTTCATTGAAGACTCTTTGGGGTCTGCGATGGACTCGGGACTGGTCCAGGGTGTCCTCCGACTGTCCACCTGCTTGACTGACTTATATGAATGTCCACGTTTGATAAAAAAGGACAAAATATAACTTCATCATCAGCAGCAACTGTCATCATAGCATTCAATGAGGAATACTACTTTGACTTCTGTACTGGTAAAATATATTATAACATTGTTTTGTGCTAAAGCCGTGTCTCAAGTGTCCTGATGTGCAAAGAGCAGCATGATACAAAATGTTAGTTTGCAGCTGTGTCCTGAGAAGGGAGGACGGTCGACTCGATCTCATAGAAGCTTCAAAACAAAGGACTCCTCTTCATGGCCTTGGTTCATATCTTATTCGGTACGAAAGTTCCGGATCCAAGTTTTACTTTCATGTCAATTAATTATGATTTGCACCGGCCACTGAGGAGGATCTTGTGTGTGTGTGTGCTGCCCTCAGCTTCGCCTGGGTTTTTGTCTCAACCTGCTTTGCAGCTTCTCGTAACTGGCACGGAGAATGTCCTTCACATGTGTAGAAAAACTCAGCGTTCTTACTGCTCGAAGACGCCATTTCCACAGAGCACCGTGATACGTGCCTGTGTATTTGACCTCCTGCTTGCAAGCAATAAATGGACTTTTTGCAACTTTGATCATCCATCAAGACTATGTTTTATCAGACAAACCATTCTCTTCTACCGAGCTTTTATTGAAATATTCCACAACACTTCAAAGATAATCAAATATGTGTTTTTTCTAAATATATAACTCTCAGTCTTTCCAGTCTTTTGTAATATACTTGTTGTGGGCTTGTGTTGTTGTTGATAAGTTATTGTGTTGTTGTTGTTGCCAGACATTGGACTGCACTTAACATCTATACTTCACTCTTGGTTGAATGCACTTAATGTAGGCCACTTTGGATAAAAGCATCAGCTAAATAACAAATGTAGAAATGTAGTATTGTAGAGACATGCTCATAATATCAATATCAATTATATCTAGATACCTCTAGGAATGTTTAAATAACATGCTTGGTGTTCTCAACACTTTCAATGTTGATGGACATTTCCTCAAGTTTAATTTTTATGTGAAGATTTCAGCTGTATTGTCTGCTGAGAGAATTATTTTGTTTATGCTGTTTACATTCCTCATCGTGAAAACAAATTCACTACAGGAACGTGCCAGTGCTTCTTGATTTGTTTATATTTATTTATTGTATAATTATATTTAGTCTTTGGGAGAGCCACAAAGCCAAGCCGTGAAACGATGTGGTTCAATCCAATGTAGTTCAGACGGGGGCAGTAATGCAGGTTAACGCTCTTTGCAAACCCACGAAGAAGAGGAACGAGCGAACCAGGAAGAAGAAGAAGTAGAAGAAGTCCTTCCGTAATAACAAGAGGACGAGCAGCGTCCACCGCTCCACTTCCTCTGGATAAGTTACCACGAACGCACGTCAGCATTATACGGCGACATTGTTTAAGGGGGGCAGACGCTCACTGTGCGTGTTTCTTTTTTTTATTAACGTTGCTAATTTCATTTTGAAACCACGTAGACCAACTGGCTGGTTGTGACATTCGCAGAATCAGCAAACCTGAGATGCGCTGAAGACGAAAGGACGGAGAACTTCGCTGCAGACTTCGGTACGGATTTGAGTTAACCGTAACCATGCTAAACCCCTGTTTGACCCGAGTTAGTGGGTTGTTTCATGCGAGTTAGTGGGCTGTGTCATGCGAGTTAGTGGGCTGTTTGACCCGAGTGAGCGGCCTCTTCCATCTAACGTTAAGTTAATTTTTCGTTGGCCAGCGTTCTTTGGGTAACTAAACTATCAAAAAGTTGTCCATCCCGAGTGAGGCTCTTCGCATCACGAGCACTAACCGTATGTTCAAGTCAAATGACGTGAATTCGACACGTTTAAGTGAACTGTCCGATTAGTCACGCGACGTCTGGTTTGACATTCGCACGTGAGGTGAGGTTATCGACGTCACTGCTGAAGCGAGTGAACGAGCTTCCTTCATCTTGTTGGTTGCTGAGTGCTGCTGAGTCGATACTACGTTATTTTACTGAGCCAGCATATGGACTTTAAAATACCAACACTGTTAAAAGCCAACCAAAAATACCACTGCCGATAGTAGATTTCTATCTCCGCCTCCATCAACCTCAGTAGGTCAGATGACCGTTTCAAAGGTCATGTGTGAACCCAAACTGATTTAGTAAGTGACGAACAGTATCATAACTACCAATGGATGTTGATACTTGTTAAATAATTCAAGGTGCAAGAAGTAACTTTAGTCCAGTCATGGGTGAGATAGAAATGGTCTGCGGGTTAGTGTTGTCAGAAGCCTTACTTCTGTAGACCAGCCAAATAATCTCCTCAATCATTCACACAAACACTACTATACACACTTGTGTTTTAGTGTATTTTTTACATTTGACTAAAAACAAGGACAGTGCTTAAGATGTTTGTGTTTTAACTCCATTCGAAGCAGCCAGTGGTTACTAGAAAACAGCTCATTCTTATTCCCGGATAACTAAGTAGGTTGATGTGTTCAAATCTGATTTCGATGGCATGAACGTCGGCTTCATGTGGGTGGGAACAACACATTCACTAGTCCCAAACAACACAACGCCGTATGTCGACATTGGACTGCAGTTAACATCTACACTTCACAAAGAATGTTTTATGGTATCTCTGTGACAGACACTTACTAGATTTTACAACCTGTTTGCTCCCAGTCAGGTGATGAGCATTGAGAGACTTTAGCTGAACATCAGCGGTATCATGGAGGAAGAGAACAGGCCTCTGCTGAGCCCGGAGCCGGCTGGAGAGTCCTGCTCAAACCGAGGCTCCACAGACTCGCTGGACTTCAAGGCTAAAAGGTAGATTACACTGACACGCTACACCATTGACACTATTTAGCAGCACCACCTGTGCGTGGGTGAGAATGAGAATAAGAGCAATAAACGCGGGACGCCGCTATGCAGACGGTCCCTGCGCACTGGTCTCCCAGGCGGCCGTTTTGGTAAAATGATGGTTAATTAGGATTGTAGCTAGTTGTCGACATCACTATGGTTACAGAGAGGTGTCGTTTGTGTTTTAACAATGTTTCGCTGATCAGCAATTGAAACGGGAAGTCTGAATCTGTGAATATCTTGCCAACTTTACCGAAGTCAGACACCATGCTCAAAAAAGACGTTTGAATATTCACTTTAGCGGTGCTGTAAACACGGAACTTTTCCTTTGCATGAAACGGCAAATAATCAAAGCAGTGCATAAAGTGCAAAGCAGTGCTTGTAGCCTCTCTAGTCTATTTTATTTATGGAATTTACAGCCAGTAGTCAGGTGCGCGCCTGCCCACTAAGCAGACAGTTGTGCCGCCGTTCAAATAGTAGTTTTTAACAACTATTCGAATATATATTCAAATATAGAATATTTGTTGACAGCCCTACATCGCATGGATGCTTTTGTATAGAATGTATATATCTCACTTCTTTGCTCAGTGGGAGAATTGAGCTCTAGCTCGTCCTGCCAGGATTTTAAACTGGCTCATAAATTTAGCCACGGCCATTCTCATACTCGCAAACTTGCCGCTTATCTGCAAATATGCGTCACGTTTTGGAATTTTACGTTTTCTAATCTAAATAGGTCATCCACGTAATTTGTTTAGATCTGAGTTTTATTTAGTGGGGGTTTTGGGTCAGCTGGCCGGCCAGTGTTTTTCAGATTGGAGTGAGACCGGGACAAAAGGTGATGTTGTAATCTTCGCAATAAAACATTATTGTGACAAACCTCGGCCAAACAGCATTGAGATCTTTACCGCATTTCCCCTCCAACTTTTTATCCTTTCACTCCAAATCAGTGTTGCCAACCTGACGACTTTCTCGCTAAATCTTTTCTCGCTAAACACTTTTTGCAACTTTTTTGGTCAAAAGCAGAAAGCGACTAGCGACTTTTCCTCGTGTTATTGGGGACTTTTCTGGTGTCTGATGTGAAAACACGTCTCCTTCTGAAGTTCCTGTCCTCAGCGAGTCTTACAGGAGCCTTGTGCAGCAGTCAGAGGGGAGAGCCACACATCTTAAGCGCCCTCCCCCCCCATTTTTTTTCACCCCTTGCAGGTATGTACTCACGTGGAGGTGTTCGGGGGAGCCTGGAACGAAATTTATTTTTATTATGCTCATCATGGAGAAAGCTGCCTTGTAGTTATATGTGCAGCCAAACATGAGCGAGATGTATACGGCTACTTTTCTCAGACCTGGTAATGTCTCGGGGACAATTTGGAGCCAGGAAGTACCTGACACGTAAGATGTCTGAAGGAACATGGTGAGCTGCGGTCCAAAGCTGAAGCCGTCAAAACGTTTGCTGAAGTTAACAATCAGCTTATCATTTAAACCAACAAAAGAAGACTCAACTCTTTGTCCCTGAAATGCATGTTTTGCTGGCCGGCATTGAGGTACATTACCCAGAGCCCTGGTTGTGAGCTGGCCCGGGCCATCCATGTTTCTATTATCTAACAAACTAGCTGTTAGTCCTGGAATTTGCTTGATGGGCAAATACTGACAGACTGAATGTGTGTGTGTGTGTGTGTGTGTGTGTGTGTGTGTGTGTGTGTGTGTGTGTGTGTGTGTGTGTGTGTGTGTGTGTGTGTGTGTGTGTGTGTGTGTGTGTGTGTGTGTGTGTGTGTGTGTGTGTGTCTCTGTCTCTGTCTCTGTCTCTTTGGCACCAACCTAATATTAACAGTTGTTGTGAATTTCAATCCAGTTAGGTATTTCACAGTGACCTTCTAGATTTCTGGAAATAAATTATTGCAAACAGTCCCAGTAAGTCGTGTCCCAGACAGCGTGGGGGGTGTGGGGGGTGTGGGGGGTGTGGTGTGTGTGTGTGTGTGTGTGTGTGTGTGTGTGTGTGTGTGTGTCCCTGTCCCTGTCCCCGCTGTCCCAACCAAGACTGCAAACTTTATTAACACAATGTTTTACAAGCACTAGACGTATAGCTGGTATTACTGCTCTGGCTTTACATTATACCAGTAGACCTACTACATAAGCCATTGGAAAACAAAATGTTTTTAAATTGATAGCAAATTGTGTTGAGCAGATCAAAATACACACCGCGCACATTCAGAAACGATACCTAAAAGGTAGTGATTTTCAGCCTTTTCATGTTCCCTGTTTCATCACAACTATAAAGTCTAAAAAAGATTATTTTACAGATTTGAATATACATACATTTCTAAATGTGTCTTAATTTATTTCATAAGCTGATACAAGGTAAACCTGGATCCAAGCTGTTGCTTAGCAATGCAATTCCATTGAAACCTACCTAATTACGTGAAGGTAGTTCTATTTAGACAGACCAAATGAGAGATGAAGAGTTGGTAGAATCAAAGCAAGTAAATATTCTGTACCATAACTTAAATAAGCAGAATATACTAACATTTTAATTGATGATGCATTGAACACCGATAGATATCACTTTATTATTTTTTTGTCTTATTTGATTCTTCTAGGCCTTTCCACGTTGAGCCCAGGAATATTGTAGACAATGACCCACAGGAGAGGGTCTCTGCCGAAGCCGCCATCCTCAACAGCAGAGTCCATTACTACAGCAGACTGACAGCCTCTTCTGACAGGCTGCTGGTAGGTCCAGTAACTATGCACGCATGTAAAATCATATGGACTGTTCATTGCGATCATTGGCTCTCACATTACAAATGATTTATGATGATCAGCTAGAAAAAAAAGTCTATTTAGTGACTGTGACAAAAGTATACGATTGTAGTATTTGGTGCATCTATTGATGAGGTTGCAACCACATTATCGTCGTCGTGGGTCGTCGTGGCGCAGGGGTTAGAGAAGGTGTGCTGGGAAGCACAAGGTTGGTGGTTTGATTCCAGGCTGCCCCATGTTCCATGTCGAAGTGTCCCTGAGCAAGACACCTAACCCCTAATTGCTCCCCAGGCAAAAATGTGAAAAAGCCATGGGTTTGTGTAATGTAAGTCGCTTTGGATAAAAGCGTCTGCTAAATGACATGTAATGTAATGTAATGTAATGTAATTATACTCCAAGGGTGTAAGACAACTACTTCAATTTCAATTTCATTTTATTTTGTAACGCCCAAAATTGCAAATTGCAAATTAGCCTCAGAGGGCTTTACAGTCTGTACACATGGGACATCCTCTGTCCCAAAACCCTCACATCGGCACAGGAAAAACTCCCCAAACAATGCAAAACCCTTCCATGTGGAAAAAAGGGAAGAAACCTTAGTGAGAACGTGAGAAGCCTGTGGGGAGGAAAAGCACAAAGACTTTAGGAGAAAGTAATGTTGGTTTATTATGATTGTAATATGATTAATATTTAAAATATTAATAATGATGGTGATAGCAGCAGCAGGTGTCAGCAGGGCCACGGCAGAAGGCAGGAACAGGGTCCATAGAACCATGAACCAATGAACCATTGAAACCTGGAAGAAACAAAGTTAGTGATGCACATTAATGTTTATAAAAATGGGAATATCTCCAGGCAGGAGTCAGGACCAGGCTCCAGATGGAACTAATATTGACGGAGACCTGTGAGGCGAGAAAACACAAAAAACTGGGAAAGAAAGAAGTGAGAGAAGCTGAATTAGTGATATAAAACGTGGATTATTGTAGATTGACTGACAGCCGTTGTGGAGGCAGGGTTACATTACACGTCATTTCTTTGCGTCTGACATGTGACACATAATTATAATAAATAAAAGGCCACTAAAATGGTAGCCAAATTATACCTGATTGACATTTGTGTTGGAGTTACAAAATACATTTTGTATTCAGTAAAAAAATGCCTATTCTCCTTGCACACTGTGTACTGTTCCAATACGCATACCGTTTCAGTGTTTGCCCTACCATTATATCAGTGGGTGCCTCACCCCATTTTCCAAAAGGCTCATGTTACGGTCCCTGTTAGGACTTCATCTTTAGTATCTAGCTGTTTTTTCCCTCCTCAGAGTCCCCCAAACCATGTGATCCCTGGGCCGGAAGAGCTGTACATCTACAGCCCACTGGGGACGGCTTTCAAGGTGACCGGCAGTGACCCCTCCTCTAAAAACCCCAGTATCATCACCATGTAAGCCCTGTCAACTAAACCTAGTAATTAGTCATAAAATCTGTTCTTATTTGTAAATGTTGTTAAGGGCTATGATTACTGCTCTTCTTTTCCCTGCTCACAGATTTGCTATATGGAACACAATGATGGGCACGTCTATACTGAGCATACCGTGGGGTATGAAGCAGGTGATTTGCTTAATTCCACACACTTCGAAGCAATTTAAATTGACATTGCCCTGTTATTCTTGGAATTGCTTAATCGCTCATACAGAATAAATGCTAAGATATGAACAGTCAGTGGTGTCTTGGTCCCTACAGGCTGGCTTCACTCTGGGGATCCTCATCCTCATCTTCACTGGCCTGCTGATGCTCTACTGTTGTTTCGTTGTCCTCAAATCACCCAAGGCAATACGTAAGTCAAACATTAAGAGAACATTAAAACGTTATGAATGTAACAAAACGTTGAGGATTGAAGGCAATTTAGATGTTTCTGATACAAACCAAATTGTTTAAATAATTACTTTGTTATTTTGTGGATTCTAGCAAAGTAGTCTCCCTTCGTTATTTAATGTTTTTTTTTTTCCCGCAATATATTATTAGTTTCTAGGAATTTAAACTTTACTAGGATTACTGGAGTGTAATATTCTTGGACAAGTCTGATTCAATTCGGCAAGATATTTGATAATGATTTGTCACTTTTGCACGGAGGTTGAACGCATTATAATGCTAATCAAAACCATCTCTTTGAAAGTTAGCTACTGCATCCGTGCTCTTGGCAGTCGAGCTGGTCACTGTGATTACTCTCACTACCATACTTACTGGCAACATGCATGAGAATAAAAAACAATGACAATCAATAATATCAAAGTGAAATTAAATTAATTATGTTGCTTATGTCGGTTGTGTGCCAGGAGGCCGTGAAGTTACTGTTGCTTTGTGGTGTAACAGACCACTGTTAATCCGTACGCAACCTCCTCTAATTCAGCACTTAATTAACAGTCCATATCTGCCAATAGTCAGTAAAATATGAGCTTAGGACATCTTTTTGTGTTTTGAGTTTGTTTATGTGGTATTTTGTGTAGAATTTTGTGGTAAAAATGAATTTGATCCATTTTGGAATAAGGCTGTTGCATAAAAAAATGTGAAAAAAGTGAAGCGCTGTGAATACTGCATGCCTGTACGTCTTGTACTTACTCTACCTATGGCTGACACCATCTAATCCACAAGGGGCGGTATAAAGACTGCTTTTAGTCCTACTAAAAGCAAAAGGATATAAAGAAAGCAACTGTCTGTGACGTAAAATTAGTTTGTCAAAGATTTAACTGTAGAGCAATGACCATGAAGAACATTAACATGTGCTGCTTCCCACATGACTGAAATAATTCCACATGTATCTATTCATTCCCCATGTTTGCCCCAGCCTATGTGGACACATCCGACTGGGAATTCCCTGATGTTTGCAGGTACTACTTTGGCAAGTTTGGCCAGTGGTCCAGCTTGATCTTCTCGATGGTGTCACTTATTGGAGCCATGGTGGTTTACTGGGTCCTCATGTCCAATTTTCTCTACAACAGCGGACAGTTTATCTACAGTAAGTCACAATGCAAAGAATAATAATAATTGAATTATGCAGTTCTATTTATTTCATTATTTGGTCAAAGACTATTCAGAATTTTACAGCAGTTGTACAACACTTTTCTCTGTGGCGACTAGCTAGGCCAGAGGTCACTAACTGGCGGACCGTGGTCCGGGTCTGGACCCAGAAGCTGTCCCATCCGGACCCGGACGAAAAGCTAAAAAATACTTTTTCACCCGGCGCAGTTTTGGTCGTCTTTACGGTAGTGCCTTAAAGCACGGACCAATTGCATTTGAGTTAAACCATCCCACGTGACACCAGTCGACCAATCAAGTCTTTGCATTCCAGGCAGGATGATAATATCGTCTCAATACTGCGGACAGACGTTACAGTACATGTCATTTAGCTTACGCTTTTACCCAAAGCAACCTACAATAAGTGCATTCAACCATAGGCATACAAACTCAGAAGAACAAGAAACAAGTGCAATTTCATCGAATAAGACGAGAGAGGTAGCGGCAAATTACAAATCAGGAGACTGTAGGAATGAGAGAATGAAAATTCAGAAAAAGACGAGTGAGACGGAGAAAGCGAGAGAAAGGGACGGGTGAGGAACAAATGGACAGCAAAAGTAGAGTATTTAATTCCTAATGGACAGACTTGTTTCTGTTCATACCCACTGCAGCACTAAACCAGTGTCTCATATGCCTAGAACCTGTTGAAACGCCATTATGAGGCGCAATGAGGCCCTGATGCATTCATTCCCAGGTTTAAAATCCTGACCGGAAAATCTAGATCTTAATTCTCCCACCTACCAAAAAAGTGGGAGACTGTCAAGTCCAAATGTGAAGAAGAAAAGGTGAAATTCAAGCTTAGTTCATTTTTATGAACTTTTAATAACTCTGGCATCTTAACCGGTCAGTTGATCCTGGATAAACAAAGTATGTGATAACGGTCAAAATTAATACCGTGATACCAGAATGGTGTAGAACACCGGCTCAGAGATGATGGTTATTTTCTGCACAGATGGTTGTTCCTCTAAAATGTGCAAGAGCTTCTGCTTTGAGCTTACGGTTTCCTTTTTGATCCACAGACTATGCACACGATGTCAAGATGTCCGATTCAGAATTTGGAACCAACGGCTCCGATAAAGGTTAGTCGCTTACACAAGTTTCATCTCTGACTTTGTTCAGTCTTTACCTTTATGCTTTAATGCTTAGTTTTTCTTGTCTGTGAAGACATCACAGCTTTCATTTCATATGTACTAAGTTGATTTTTTAAAATATGTTTTTCTATGCCTGTTCTCCCATCTGGGGACTGCACTCTAAATATTCCAATAAATCACTGTCTGTTTTCTGGTAAAATGACGGATGTTTTTTTATGTTTATTTTTGTCTCCAGTCATCTGTCCATTTCCAAATACTAATCCTCGAGGGAACCACTCCATGGGCACACTTTATCTTGGTAACAGTGGGAATGAAACTTCTTCTTCTGATGTCTCTTTTGAACACTGGTGGAGCAAAACCAAGACCATCCCCCTCTACCTCATCCCCCTGCTGCTGCCGCTGCTCTGTTTCCGCTCCGCCTCCTTCTTTGCCAGGTTCACCTTCTTGGGTAAGTTACGGTCAATAAAATAACCACGTGTCTCTCATTGTTGTCCTGAAAGTCAACACAGCAGTAGGATCACTCGGTGGGCTTCTTTAGATCTTTGTCTTCAAATCCTAGAAATACATAAAAGCTGCATATATTATATTATTTGGCAGAATATTAATCTTCTATTCCCCATGTTGTTGTTGGTCACGCAGACTGATCAGTTCTATCACTGTTATCCCATATTATAAGAAAGGATGTGACTATTTCTCAATTAGAGTAATTTTGGTGACCTGATTGTTCGGTACACTGAGGCGTCAATATTGTAAACTGTTTAAAAAAAAAAAAGGCAGGCACTTTCCTTCACAAAAGAATTAGCGAAAGATTGAGTCTGGATGTGGGGGGGAGAGAATGGAAAAGCTTTGTGTCGCTCTGATTGAACAGCTTTGGTAGCATTTAGTAAACCAGGAAGCACCATTATTGTTGAGAACAGACAGTCGCCTCTTACACACCTAAGGCCCTTCTGTAGCTCTTCACAGGACGCACATTGGTCCAAGCTCTATCCTCCATACTGGTTAAATGATGCCTGTCGCTGCTGTGTAAATAAATGTGTACAGTCGTTCTTCGCATCCATCCATTTATTTATCTGCTTCTTCTTGTACCAATTGCCATAGCAAATAATGGTATTGGAGCACACATTGACTTATAGTAAACATACTGAGTGGACTCTGATCAGTTGGATGTTAAATTCAAACATTAGTTCATGGTTTGTTAAAAAGGCCCCTTGTTTTGCTTATTATGCTTTGTGCACATCTTCTGTAGGTACCATATCAGTGGTCTACCTGATCGCGCTGGTCACTCTCAAAGCTGTGCACCTCGGCTTCCACCTAGAATTCCACTGGTTTGACACGACTCAGTTCTATGTTCCAGGTAAACCTCCTGAAGATTTGAGTGTGCTCCTTGATATGTCTTTCTGCATCTTGCAAGTGCCGTCATCCTGTTACACTGTGGTAGCTCGGCCTTATATATCTATATAGATATATCTATTTTACATACAACAAATCTCTTAAATTGACAGTTTTGTTTCTGTAGCGTAGCAAATGTATACTTTCTGTCTTTCAGAGTTCAGACTTCTCTTCCCTCAGTTCACTGGTGTCCTCACTCTGGCCTTCTTCATTCATAACTGTATCATCACATTAATGAAGAGCAACAGGAACCAAGAGAACAATGTGAGTCCTGTGCACTCGTCGTCCTCCCCAGCTTCACAAGCATATGCATTATAGTTTACTAGTCTGGCCTGTTTGGATAACATTTTCTCGAGTCATTTCTTGTGTATTAATGGAGTGCTCGTCGTTGTCTGTTACGTCTATCCGCAAACGGGAAGGAAGGAGTCTTCAATTGAACTATCAATCATATTTAGTCACGTCACGTTTTTCGAGTTTTTGAGCATGCGGCTGTGTTTTGATGTTTTCAGGTGCGGGACCTGTCTGTGGCCTATCTCCTAGTGGGGCTGACCTATCTCTATGTTGGAGTGTTGATCTTTGCTGCCTTTCCCTCACCTCCGCTATTCAAAGACTGTATTGAACCGGTGAGATTTACTTTTCCAAGTTCTTTTTCTTTATAGTTTTGCAATATAAATGTGTACTGTGACTTCAAACAACTAACCGTAGGTTAGTTGAAGTTCAGCGAAAGAGTGTTTTGTCCTTCATCAGAGGGCCGGCAGTTCAATCACCAGCTCCGCTAGTCCATGTTGATGTGTCATTGAACACACACCAAACACTTATTCCCTTATCAAAATGGTTGAATGCTTGAAGTTCTAAGGATGTACTGTAATTTTCAGGACATGTGAAATGAATGTTTCTTTTGCCCAAATGAAAGTAAGTCAAATGTTGAACTCCACATGGTCTATTGAGGGATTTCGAAAGAATTGTAGCCAAACAATCTCTGTCCGCCCATCTCCTTTCTGAATAGATGCTCATCAGATCACAGTCGGTGGTTGTATGGGCAGGACTCCATGGCGTGGTCTTACAAATTTGGTTTAATTGAAACCTGTCTTAACCTGTTGCACCTGATCGTCACCGAATTTGGTTCAAAACCAGAACAGGATTATCGTGTACTCATCACAAACAAATATACAAATGCATCGTTTTAAACATTACAGTCTTGTTTGAAAATCCTCCAACAAGTTATAATATATGAAATGCAAATTATTCCACAAAATTTGCATACAAAGATGTATTTGTAACATTTCTCAGCTAGGCAAGGGGCGAATAAAAGAAAACAGCACAACAAAGAGCAAGCAGAGACTAAGCGTAAGACCCTGATTTAAGTATCGCAGACCACAGAACCTCCAGCATATGAATCATAAATGCCCCTTACCCTTGACGTTTAGAACAATTGATTGTACCGGGACTTAAGTTTCCGTACAGGCTCTTCAAACACTGCTTTTTTTCTCTCCTACAGAATTTCCTAGATAACTTCCCCAGCAGTGATGTGACTGTGTTTGTGGCTCGGACTTTCCTGTTGTTCCAGATGGTCACAGTCTACCCCCTGCTGGGATACTTGGTGCGGGTCCAGGTGATGGGCCAGATCTTTGGCAACCATTACCCAAGGTAGCATTGAAGGATATTATCATTAAAGATTTATATCAAACTTGCTAGACGGAAATAACAAAATCCTATAAAAGTGGTTTCCATAAACCTGTAGTTTGTCGGCATTATGCAGATTATAGATTTTTTTTTTCCAATAACTGAAACCTGTAAGGAGAAAAGGCACAAACTAATGTGGCTAATGATGGTAGCAGGAGGGAAGACCAGGGTCTAGATACACCCATGGAAATCTGTGAGAAGATAAAGCACAGGGAAGAAGCTGACTTAGGATACACCAACTCTCATTGAAGCACATCACTAAGAAATCCCCCAGCAGTCTTGGGCCTAAAGCAGCTTATCTGAGCGCTGGTCCAGGCGAACCTGAGCCAGCCCTAACTATAAGCAATATCAAAGAGGAAGGTTTTAAGCTTTATCTTAAATGAGATTACCAAATCTGCCCCACCCCCCCCCCCCCGTACTGAAAGTGAAAGCTGGTTCCATTAAAGAGGAGATTCATAATATCGAGTAAAGACGTGCTAACTTGAAAAACTATATAAGTGTTATCAAAGGGGAACGTCTTTTTCTTAAATGAGGGGAACTTGCGCACCGTTCTTTTGTGTGGATTCAATCTTTCAGCATATCAGATTTTCATTTTTTCTCCTAGTTTCTTCCACATTCTGGCACTGAACATAATAATTGTTGGTGCTGGTGTCCTGATGGCCAGGTTTTATCCCAATATTGGATCCATCATACGGTATGTTTGACCTTGTTTCCCTATTCACGTACACTGTGTGATGGCTAATAATTAATCAAAACAATAATTAAGAGTGTTGACCATTAAAAGTATGAATTAACTTAACTACAGTTAATAACAACTTTTTTTTTTCTCAGATCTAACACAGTATGCAAACATTATGCAATGCGTTTAATGATTAGTCATGTACAACCATTCAAGGCAACGAATGATGGCAAAGAAATTCAATGTTGTTCATCGGGGGGCTGTGGCTCTACAGGTAGACTCAACTAATTAGTTTAGTGGACATTGTCCCTATATCCTCAAATGGGGCCCTGACAGAAGGAGTTAAACAAACGAGAAAGTTAACTTGTTGTGACACTACTATAAGCTCTGTACTGATGTCAACTCTGTCTCCCTGTGCAGGTTCTCTGGAGCTACATGTGGCTTGGCTTTGGTGTTTATCTTCCCTGCCTTAGTCCACATGATCTCGCGGAGCAGGCAGGGGCTTCTCCGCTGGCCCTCAGTCCTCTTCCACAGTTTCCTGATTGTTCTGGGCATCGCTAACCTGCTGGCTCAGTTCTTTATTTAAAGAAGTCAGACACAAACACTGAGATCTCAGAAGTGACAAACAGAATGTAGACATTGTTCACATCAATGAATCTGAAAGACAGACAGAGCTTCAACCGAACGATCATGTTGGATGTGGAAATAAGGATTGGAGAAGGAAAGTTTATCATATCCGCTTTAAAGGTGATGCCATTGCAGGTTTAAATGCTTTACACATGGTTTACAACTGGATTTCAGGATCACATAGAGTTGAGTTATCCTTTGATTACGATAACCGTTAATGTTACTGTTTTTTGCATGATAGCTATTTTCCAGATACTGGGTTTAATGTGTTTATATTTAAGTACGGATAGGATAAACAAAGGGAATATCTGCATTTAAATACACAATGAGGGAAACAATATAAAGATTGCAAATCTAAACATAAGCAATGACAAGAAAAATAGGAAGGGAAGGTCTGAATGTCCTTCTGAGTGGGGAAAATGTTGCTCTTGAGTTTTCAGAGAGTTTCCAACATGTGGATTGAAGCAGAAAGCTTTGTTGCACAAACATACCTGATTTAATAAATTATTTCATCTACTTTTCATAAATAAATGTTGACTTTTGGATTTGACAGTGCTTTGGAGTTTTCAGAGATGTTTGGATGTTTTGGAGATGTGGCAGTAGTTCAGCGAAGAAGAAATCTTACGGCGCTACACTGGATTTCTACAAAAAATAATGTAATAATATAGCCTCATCTTTATCTTGACAGTACATAATTAGCGGATTTAATTCAAATGTATATTCTTAAAAATAACAGAACTGTATATCATTCAAATGTGGATTTTTTTTTTATTTGAACCGTTTATTGTCAACCGTACCAATGAAACTTTGCGATATACAGTAAAAAGGTTTTGGGCGAACATCTCGGCCATTGACAAGAGAAGAGGGGTCTCTGCTCTTTTTAAGTTCTATGGACAACACCGTACATTGTGATTGTGGTAGAGAAGCCTGCATGTAGAGCCCCTCTACATCTGAGCCTGAAGGGCAAAAGTTCTAACCTACTTTCCTCTATGGTAATTGGATTTAGTGTGAATAATGACGGAAGAGAGAATCTGCCTGCATGCAACTGGAAGAAGGTGTGTGTTTGCGCAAATGTAGTGAGTGGAGATGGAGAGCAAATGGGAGAACACTAGATGGTGCCAAAGATCCATCAGAGACAAATTTATTTGTATGTATCAGTACTATCCTTTACTCAGGCTGTCTGGATGTGTTAACAATTCCAAAATAAAATCTACAGGACAGTATTCTGAAAACCCCAATTAATGCATGTTCTTGGTTCAGAACAGTTTAGCAGACATAATATATATATATATATATATATATATATATATATATATATTATATATTATATATATATATAATATATATATATATTATATATATATATATAGTCATATTTTTGCAAGTTCAAAATCACAATTTCTCAAAGTTTGAAATGCAATAAAAGATTTATCAATAATTCTAGACAAATTTGTACATATATCCGTACGATACTTTCATAACAATACATTTATTTTGTAATATTAGTTTTTTAATGTTAGTTTTTTTCGATTGCTAAACGACTGGGCACAACTGGAGTCACATGTGCAAAACTCTTAACTACAGTCTGCACAGCAGCAGTTCATGTGGACCAAACTAGTTCATTTTTTATTGCTTGAACAGTTTTCAAAACTACACGATTATCCCATGACTTATCCACAACCTGCACAACGCTGTGGATTTACAGCACTTTGTTCAAATGCTAACTGCTGTCAAAACTGAACCACAAATCCAAACGGAACAGATTTCAGCCTTGTCTTTCAAACACTGCGGATTGCAATTTTAGCTGAAAGGCTAAACAGGTGTCTTGTTTTAGACTTGTTAGTGAACACATACATATATATAGAACAAATTATATATATATTATATATAATATATATATACATATATATACATATGTATGTATATGTATATATACACATATGTATATATGTATATGTATGTGTATATGTATATATGTATATATATATATGTGTATATATGTATATATGTGTATATATGTATATATATATATATGTGTATATATGTATATATGTGTATATATATGTGTATATATATGTATATGTAAAACCCCCAGCAGTCTTGGGCCTAAAGCAGCTTATCTAAGGGCTGGTCCAGGCTAACCTGAGCCAGCCCTAACTATAAGCGATATCAAAGAGGAAAGTTTTAAGCTTTATCTTAAATGAGATAACCAAATCTATATATATATATGTATATATTACAGTATATATATAGGTAGAGTTCAGAAAGACTAATTTTGGAAATGGAACAAGGAAGACGGGTTGGTGGGGGGAGACAAAGAAGACAAAGAGCTGTTATTTCAGATGACATAAGGGCTTCGCTTATAGACCATGTTGTGAACCACGGTCTCTCACTGAGAGAGTTGAGGGTGGAACCCACTCTGCAAAGATCCACAGTGGCATCTGTAATGCAAGTTTTCCATCATACAAACAGGTGAGAGGAGTTTTTCTCTGCTTGGAGGTGGAAAGTGTTTGGTCACCACCCACATGACCAAATGTCTCTTTTGGAAGAATTACATTTAGCCCACAGCCCTTTTGTCCATGGGGCGAGAGCGGCCACCTCCTCCCAGGGAGGCCGCTGCTGCGCCTCCACCCACAGCATTACTGGCTGCACGTCCGGGTCTTGTTGCTTTCAGCGGCCCAGATAGCATTGTCCACCACCAGCAGCTCTCCCAAGCCATGACAGTCTCTTCACACTCCTCTCTGTCCCGCTTGTTTGGCCCCAGAACCAGCTGCTGTTCTCTGGCCTCTCTGCGGTCACAATACCGGCAGCCGTCTTCACTGCAGGGTCGACGGGACAGTGCGTCAGCGTAGCCTTGCAGCTCCTCCAGCCAACGAGCCAGCTGTCACTCAGGCTCTTGGAATGTCATCAGCCACTGCAGTGAGGCACGATCAGTGCGTATAGTGAAGGGGCGGCCACACAGGTAGTACTTAAAATGCCGTGCGGCAAAGACGACAGCAAGCAACTCCCTACGACGACAGCAAGCAACTCCCTACGTGTACGCTCAGCTTTATTCAGGGCTTTGAGGTAGTAGGCCACAACCCTCTCTCCTTCCGGCCATGCCTGTGATAGGACTGCCCCCACTCCATCGCCGCTAGCGTCTGTGTCCAGAACAAAAGACACTTCGGGGTCAGGGGCTCCCAGGATGGGTGCGCTTGACAGAGCCTCTTGGAGGGTGTTGAATGCAATTTTACAGTCCTCTGCCCACACAAAGGGCTGGACCTTCTGCAGTAGCCTGTACAGGGGGGCAGCAATGCCTGAAAATCCCTGCACGAATTTCCTGTTATAGGAAGCTAAACCTAAAAAACGTTTTAGTCCCCTCTGGTCTGTCGGGGTGGGCCACTCACGTATGGCACGCACCTTCTCCTCCGCTGTGCTGATACCCTCGCTGCCTATTCGGTGCCCTAGGAAGGTCAGCTCCCTGCACAGCAGCCTGCATTTGTCCGGGTGTAACTTCAGTCCAGCCCCCTTGATCCTTTCCATAACTCTGCGCAGTGCTGCCATAGCCGAATCAAATGAGCTGCCATGGGCCAGAATGTCATCTAAATACACCAGGGACTCAGTGTGTGGAACCCCAGCTAACACCCTCTCCATTAAGCATTCGAATGTGGCAGGCGCATTACACAGTCCAAAACAGAGCACCTTAAACTGCCACAGCCCCTTTCCTGTGCAGAATGCGGTCTTGGGTCTTCGGCCAGGGAGACCTGCCAATAGCCGCTCCTCAAGTCCAAGGACGAGAACCAGGAAGAGCCAGCTACTAGGTCCAGACATTCATCCACGCGTGGAAGGGGGTAGGAGTCCTTCTTGGTGACGTCATTAAGCAATAATCAATCAATCAATCAATAATCTACGCAGAAGCGCCACTCACCTCCTTTCTTCGGCACCATCACGAGTGGTGATGCCCAGGGGCTCTCAAAGGGCTCTATTATGCCGGCTCGCTGCATTTTCTCCAAAGCCCGCTCCGCTGCGTCTTGTCGGCCCAGGGGGAGGCGACGTGGGCGCTGCCGTATAGGCGCAGCATCACCTGTGTCAAATGTTTCCTGTACGAGAGAGGTCTGTCCCAGCTCCTCCTCGTCAAAGCAGTCACAGAACTCTATCAGCAGCTGCCATAGTCGCTCCTGCTGCTCAGAATCCAAGTCCCCGGCACTTCTTTGCCAGATCTCGCGCAGAGCTGTCATCCTTTTTGCTTCGCTCTCATGCAGACTCTCACAGCCCTCCACCGCAGACGGGGTCAGCCTAACAGGCGAGTCAGGCTACGGGTGGCTGGCTCAGGGCCTAGCCGAGGCTCTGACAGGTACGACCTGGCTGCCCTTGTCTGCTTTCCTTCCCCCACACAGCACCCGTGAGGTCCGGCTGTGTGTGTAGCTGCGCGCTGGGGATCCAGCGGTCTCATATGCACCACCTGCCCATCACTAAAGCTCAGTATGGCTTTCCCCAGGTCTAACTGACAGCCCTGCTCCCGCAAAAAGTCCAAGCCTAAAATACAGGCATTGTGTACTTCCGCTACTGATAATCAAAAGTTCTTTTCATGGGCTTAGTTGGGGGTTCGCTGTCTTGTCTTGATTTAAGAGTTAGGTAAGGAGCAGGCAGACACGAGTCTGACAGGATGGGGAGTCAGTTTATGTCCTGGCTGAGGAATGCAAGGTCTGCGGGTCAACTAGCAGATTTACCAGCCAAAGGGGGGTTAGAGACACACCAACACTATTCAACATACACACTCTGTTCGCTGATGTTTACGTTAAGTGAGGAGTCTGGACATTGGATGTGACCGGATCTTTAGATGCGGGAGGTGGAAGGTCCTCCTCTACGCCAGTTTAGGGCCAATAGAAATCTTTCCTTCTCTGTATTTCAAGGGTTATAAAACATGTTCTTGCTGATGTTAGTTAGTTGTTCTTCCGGCCTGTGTGCTGCCTGAACTGCTCCTGCCTTTGCAAACGCAGCGCTGATACTTGACCTGTGATCTGACAAATAAATTTCCCAGAACGAGAGAAGTCATTCGGCTGAATTCTTGATAACCCCGACCAGGCTCCAAATCTTGAACACGTATTCTTACACTACCCACACAGTGTGTCTCCTTTTCCGTCCCCCCACAGTCAATATCAGCTGCCCTCTCCCTTTCATTGGTGTTAGCTCACCAGTTACTGTGCGGAGCTGAACTGCTGTGTCCTCCAGCTGCATACCCACTGGCACCACCTCTGGCCGGACCACTGTGACCGTTGACCCTGTGTCCACTAGGGCGGTGCATGAAACCCCCTCGATGCAAATGGGAATATGGCAGAAGTCTGATATGGAAGTCCTTCCCACCACAACCACATTCTTCCCCCAGCCCATGCTGTACTGAGAGGCGCTGCTGGCCTCAACCAGTGATGAACGGGACTTTAGGGTGGGGGCACGCAGCGTCCCGTCTACTGCGTCCCCTTGCCGTTTCCCAGAGCTTTACTCGAGGAAGGGCAATTCCTCACCAGGTGTCCAGCTTGGCCACACCCCCAGCAGAGGCGCAGCTGTTGTTGTGGCCGCACCGGGGCTTGTGTTTGTTGACGCCTGGCAGGAGGCATAGCCAACCCCCTGATCATCTCGGTCACCTCATCCACCCACAGCGGCCGCTCTGACATTGTCTCTCCTACCGCCCTGACTATTGGAGAATCATCGTGCTGTGCAGTGCTCATGACCATCTCCCTCTCCAGCGCGTACTCCAGTGCGTCAGTCAGGGTTTGGGGGCGAGCCAGCTGAGTGTGAACTCGCAGATCAGATGGAGAGAGAGCCCTGATGAACTGATCACGTGCAAGCTCCGTTTGCACTGGTGTGGGTATGCTCGCCGTGTCAGTCCTTCGATGTCGTTCGCCACGTACGCAGGAGTTCCCCAGTTCGCCTCTGAAGTCCATGCAGCTCTGAGCGCAGCAGCTCTGAACGAAAACATTGTCCAAACCGGCGCCCTAGAGCACCAGCCAGGGCTCCATAATTACCCCTCTCACTCGGGTCTAAAAGCAGCAGGCAAGACAGTGCATCATCCGTCAAACAAAGGGCGAGCTGGAGGGCTTTCTGTTCATCTGACCAGCTGTTTGCCCAAGCTAAAAGCTCGAACTGAGCATGAAAAGCCTCCCAGTCCGACTTCCCCGCATATTTCGGCGTTTTTATGCCTACCGGCACTCGCTGTCCCTAGGCGCCGCCATCTTTGTTTACGCTTTGTCCATGCACGTTC